CCTGATCTTAGGATCATTCTTGTGGTATATGAAGTCCACACGAGCTCGATCTTCCTTTTTGCCTTGCACCACATCCACTTTATTCTCCAAAAATTATGAATGAGATCTTCCATGCCTTTGGCCTCCTCCAAAAACAACGTTTTGATCACTTCTGTGTTTGCTGCCACGCTTGCTGTTCTAAAGCACAAAAAGGAAAACGGTCATGTTATATTGTGCGATAACTCTATCGATATCAGCAAAAGCCGTCCGAGAGGTCGATATGTGTAACTCCTGTAGGACGCTTTGAATTGTACGGAACGAAATACATAACGAGAAGCCCGACGTGAGAGCGACGTCGCACTCTTAACAAAAACCACACACAAGACTCTCGCATGTGCCGCTTCTCCCTGCCCTGGGTTTCTGTACCGTCTATAAAACCACCTCTTCGCTATCCTCACTCTACCTTCTTATACCTCTACGCTGCGGCAAGATTACCAAAATCAGTTGAGAGCGAGTTTATGTCGTCCAAAAATTTCGAATTAGATTCCATGTGCAGCTCTTCCAAAATGTCTTACCAGCAGATCATGCTGGTGTGGATTTATCCGATCGTGTCTATTTGAAGTCAAGAGGCGAAGATGATATGTGGTGGGGAAATTCACGATCCATCATGACCCAGTAATGGCTAGAGCGAGTGTGCAACCAAAAATCTCATGCTATCGGCATATGTGTCTGCGCGCGCAAACGGAACAGCGATAGCGCTTGGACGATTCCTCTGGCTATATAATGACTACGTCGCTGAATCTTGCTCCGATACATGCGTCATTGAGGCCTTTCTCCAAAACTACACCATCCTACACCATGTGTGTTCCGAAGCACCTCGGCCGATGGCGAGGCGTTCGCGCCCGCAATCCTTGATCTTAAATCACCCAACATCATACACATGGCGACTTGGAAATGGGCGGCGGCGCCGATATACATTGTGTCCTGAATCGATCAGTTTGAGAAAGCAGAGTTGAAGGCCGTGCCACTGTGTAGGACATGAAAAGACTGTTTGCTGAGTTTGATGTAGACCCTACGCTATCGTGATTTCATGGTAAACTTGTCGTGACGCTGAGAAGTTGTCGGGTGCAAAGCGAGACTGAACGAATATGGCATGACATGAATGAATGTGTCGTGTGATTCGAAACTATAGATGATATCGCGCTGTTACCGTCTGAGGGTCCGAATGCGAGGGCAGACAGTACATGGTAAGAATGATAACCCTGGATATCGTGTACATCCTTAAACTCCAACATGTCCGAGATCGTTCGCATGTGTACCATTAATAAAATTCCTTCCAGTTGCCCCATATGATGTCTCTTTCATACTTCTTCATAAGCTGGCCGGTGGGATCTTCACCCTTGACATGTGCCCACGCGCCCGCAAAATGCAGGACGAACTTGCCCGGCTTCCACTCGCCCTCTTCGTTCTCGAAACAGGGTATATCCTTCGGAAAGGCGTTTAGCCTTGACTGCGGCGCCACGACGTGTCTGCTGACATATGGTTGCTCTTTGAGCAGTTGCACCATGGCGTCTTGCTCGCTATAACTCTTGCTGTCGTCACTCTTCTCTGCTTCATCGCGTATTTGGAGTGCGCGACGGACGAATTCGAGCGATCGATCGTGCGCGCGGACGAGGAAGGATCCGAGATTCAGGCCGTTGCAGTCGTGTGTGAAGATGTAGTCGACTTCGTTTGCATTTTCAGCCTTTTCTAACTCGTCTCTGACTACGTCGGCGACTGCGACTCCGGTGTCAGTGATGAGTGTGTCGAAGTCTAGCCACCATATCCAGTCGTATTTGTTGGTTTCGACCAGCCGCTCTACCATGTCGAACTTCCAGTATACGGGGCTGCGCGGCTCGGAGTGCGCTTCGAAGTCGGTGATGAAGTCGTAGCCGTGACGTCGTGAGTAGTCTGTTAAGTCTATGCGTCAGCTTCATTCAGTGCGATTTTCCGACAAGGCTGGGCTTACGGTCTTTGTTCTTGAGCGAAAGATGGAGATAAGATCTCTGATCCGTGACAAACGTCACGACGGCGATCCGTGAAGGCCTGTTATCTCCTTTGGCCGGAGGCGCCGGCGGTGGTGGAGGCTCTTCATGGCTCGGACCTTGACTGAGTTGCCAACCCAGGAAGACGAGGAAGACAAGCAGGACGAGGAGCGACGGCGGTATCTGTCGCGCTGAGCGGATGAGCATGTTTATGGCGAGCGCGATATGCTAATATGTGGAAGGGGTGGAGCAATAATCTCGCTGTGGCATCTATACAGCCGCACAGGACATGGTTATCGTGAATGGTAGTACTCGGGATGGGAGCCAAGCGTGCGAGGTGCGCGGGATTGGATGCGGGACAAAAGACCAAAGGGGAGCCATCGGGCCATGGTCGAGAACATGCCCGGATTCCAGCTGCGGAGGCGGCCGCGTGTCCAAGCCGGGATGGGGCCAACGGCAGTAAAAGGGTCGACTTTGAATTCGTTGTCGACGATTGATTGCAGGTACATCCAGGCCAGCGACTCTCCGAGTGGTCAATACGAGATACGGCGGGAACGAAGTGGAGCGTTCGCCCCAGGAACGCGGTGCCGTGCCTGAGGTGACCTCACACCCCGCTGGCCAGGGTTCGAGCTCGGACCACAAGAGCCCCAGCCGCCGCCTTGTTACCAGCCACCTCTGTCTACTTTGGATACAAACATGACCCTCCGCACTAGTATCGCACCAACACTGACATCATCACGATTTAATCCTCCCTGAATCATCATGTCTGCTTTTAGAGGAGGACGTAGCGGCGGCGGCGGGCCACCCAAGGGCCAGTTCCTGAACGGTGTTTGGCACTGTAAGTCCAAACATTCCCACAAGACATGAGCACCACTGACAACGGCTAGGCGACTGCAATCCCCGACTGCCAGCAGTACACTTCGAAACTAAGAAAGCAGGCCCGAACAAGGGAAGGTGGTGTATGTTACTTCTGCTTTACTTGTCAAGGTCTAGCTCTCTAACGCGCGCCAGTTCGTTCTTGCCAAAAGCCTCAGGATGCCGAGGACCGATGCAAGTTCTTCTTATGGGATGATCAGGCGCATGCCAGGGAGCAGAGTGCCCTTGCGAACAACTCTCGCACCGAACCCGGCCCTGCCAACCCAGCTCCCACCAACCCAGTCACTCCTTCCCGACGTCAACCCTCCCCTCCACCACCTTACACGATCGAAACGAACCCAGCCGCATCAAGTCGCAAGCGAACACGACCTAGCAACGAAGATTTCGATGACGAATATGGCCTCGGGCAGGTTAACGATGATGATCTGAATCAGGCCATGGTTGAGGCTGAGACGCCGAGCAAGGCCGTGAGGACGACCAACTTTACGACCCCTGCACCCAAACGACAGAAGCTCCCATGGCAGATGGACACAGGTAGTAGCTCTAGAAATCATGGGCTGCAGACGCCCCAAACCGACCGAAGATCCCCAGGAGACAACCCGTTCGCACCCAGACACCCAACACCAGGCGGCGCTCTCTTTACTCCTTCATCCAACGTTGATGCAAACGAGCACCATCAGACCGCAACCCCGTCATCTTCCTTTGACGCGACTCCCACTCCAAATCGATTCAGAAATGCAATGAACGAGGACATCGTCAAGGACGTGCTCGATCTCCTGCAGAACAACAACGTGCACCTCGCAGAACCTGTACAGAGCGAGGTCAAAAGCTTACTAGTTCGACACGCCAAGAACACCGAAGGATACAAGAGAGGTCGGGACGTCAGCCGTAGCACAGTCAAGGCAAAGGAAGCGAAGATTACGGAGCTGACATATCGCATCAACACACTTGAAGCCGAGCTTGAAGCGGAAAAGGCCATGGTCAAACATCTTCAGTGGGAGGCACAACACGAGTCGGACACCTGATCGCCTCGAAGTGCACGATCCCAACATTCGGCTTGGGCTCCACACATCAATCACAACAAGTTTGCAGGTTTCGTCGGTGTACTACACGAGTAGAGCACCTCGCCCAACGCCTATGATATCACTGAAAAGGCCCACCCCCAGATAATACACTGCATGTGTTACCGAAGTGGTGGGCTGCCCCACTGTTCCCGGCGTGCTGCGAAGCATGGCTCACCACACTTGCATCCTACGCGCAGCCAACGCGTCCGACGCGGATCGGATGGTACGCCTGAAGTCGGCTATATCGGCTATCGCAAGGGACTGTCGGGCTTTGCCACAGTTGTCTGTTCACGAAAGCACGTTGGATGAAGGGACTCACTCTTTTCCCATGCGATGGTTCCTGAGCACGCCATCAGAGGTCGCGATTCTTCATAAGCACTCGGATTGCTTGAATGGTAAGCGCGAATCAATGCGGAAGAAGGAGCGATCGTGACGTGACAGCTGCGGCGGAACCGAGCTACGCCCAGCATTGGCACGCGGAACTCGGCAGGTAGACAGAATATGATTTGTCGGAATCTTTTCGACCCCAACCCTCTTACGTACGCCAGGCCTTTGCCGATGAGCTTTTCTCCACACCCTCCCCGGCGGAAGCTTGGCAATCAACGGCGGCCCCCGCCGAGCCACTGGAAACCATGTTCTTGTCCCATGAGGTTTTGTGAATTGCGAGCAAGAAAACTCATCTTGCAGGAAAAGCTTGTTTTGTGTCATGGCGATTGTTAACGTCGGGGTTGCCGTAGTCGTACCCCCGGTGTAGGATCGGGTGGGTCAACCATGCGATGTGAACTGGGAAATGCAGGGAAATCGCAACCCATTACCAACAGCAACCGAACGTGGGTTTGAAGAGACTGGTACGATCTTGGCGGACGTAGTGGGGCGTTTGCTCTGAACGGAATACAAAAGTACTTCACTTCTCACATGTAATGGCTAGGGCCGCCCACATTTCACAGTCTCCCGAAGAAAGGTCGATTTGGGATCGTTGCTCCCGATACTTCCGATTTGTTGAGGCCCGGCCTTCTACACCTCACTTCAACTCTCGCAAGATAGCTGTTCATACAAGATGGCGATGCGATACCTGCGAAAGATAGGCAGCTATTTGGCGCCTCAAGCCTCGAAAAGCGAAGATGGCCGTGACCAGTGGCCCTCGAGAGCAGCCTTTCTGCTCGCTGCCATGGGCGGCTGCGCAGGACAAGGAAACCTGCTCAGATACCCGAGTGTGCTGTACAACAACTATGGCCTACAATGGTTCATTCCATATCTTCTGGCAGTCTTCCTCATTGCTATTCCGGCGCTCATCCTAGAAGTGTCAATCGGTCAAGCGTACCGTGGTGGTACCGTCATTGCCTGTAAGACAGCTCATGTGTCGATTACGTATGGAATACCAACTAACCATCTGCCGCTAGTCAACAACATAAACCGTCGTCTCAAAGGAGTCGGTATGGGGCCTGTTATCGTCAGTTTCCTTGTCGTCCAGTACTTTACTGTGAACTTGGCATGGTATGCAGTGTCTCCAAACAATATTGACGTCTGGCCTGTACTTACTTTGTCACCAGGATTATGAGATACTTCCAAGAAAGTTTCACGAGTCCGTTGCCATGGGAAGGCCGCATCGAGGACTTCTACTACAAAGACGTTCTTCAGCGCGGAGCAATCAACGAGGGAAGCCTAACGCCGGATGGCAATTCCGTAGCTTCATTCACCGGTTATCCCAACGGAGCTCTGATCGGCTCAACTGTAGGCTGGAGTATCTTTGTATGGTTCTTGATCTGGATATCCATCTTCCGTGGAGTCGGCATGACCGGTCGCGTCGTATACTTCACCATGGGACTACCCATCGTCACCACCATCATCTTCGTTGGCCGAGCGCTGTCTCTCCCCAATGCGAGTGAAGGTGTTGCTCTTGTTTGGAGAACTTGGAGGAGCGACCAACTCGCCTCGGGAGTCGTGTGGCAGACAGCTGTTGGCCAAGTCTTCTTCTCCACCGGTATCGGCTTCGGATACTTCACGTCGTACGCCAGTTACAACACAAAACACGCCAACGCCGTAATGGACGCTTGTCTTATTTGTGGTAGCAACGTACTTTTCGAAAACTTCGCTGCATTCGCCGTCTTTGGCGTTGTAGGCTTTCTCGAAAGGTGGCCACAGGACGGTGAGCGACTCGGCGCCTTCGTTGTAGGTTTCTTGACACTTCCTGAGGCAGTGCTACAAATGCCTGGAGCAAATTTCTGGGCAGTGCTCTTGTTCTTCACGCTCATTGTGCTCGGATTTAGTTCGGCTTTTGTCATGCTTGACGTTGTCGTCACGCTTATTTGCGATTCTGGCATGGTCAAGGCTTCGAGACCTGTCGTGGTTACTGGGCTGACCGTTCTCTCATTTTTGATGTAAGTGATGCTGCCCAGCTACTTATAAGAACTGCTCGCTGACTTTGGCAATTTAGGTGTCTTCCATATTGCACGGAGTTCGGCTACTACCTCCTCGATGGTATTGATCGCTGGGTTAACAACGTCGCTCTAATCTTTGTCGTCTGGAGCGAGGTTTCCAGCGCTACGACCGTGTACCGATGGAGAGACATCGTTGAGGAAACCGGCCTGCCCGCCTTTGTCATATACAATGTTGGTTTCTTCGGCGGCCAAGTCTTTGGTATTAGTCTTGCACATGGCATCAGCCGACCTGGAGCAGGCGCCGGTGCTGGTATCGGTTTCTACTTCCTTATGGCCGTAATTGCTGTTTTCGTGGCAAAGGCTCCCGCCGCACGAGCGCCGTCTTTCTGGAACGGGAATGCTTTCATTCGGAAGTTCTGGTTCCTCGCCTTCTATTCGGTAAGTCGCAACAACTGAACCACTCTGGTACTCCAGTCAACTAACAAATACGGCAGGGTAACCAACTCCGTCGCGACCTGAACGTCATCGTTGGCCAGGGCAAGAACTGGACGATACCAGCCTTCATGCCATTCCTTCTCCGTTATCTCAGTGGACCCGTCCTCGCCATCATCTTCTCCTTCGCTTTCCCCGAATTCCACACTCTACGGTACGATCCAATGATGATTGCCGGATTCATCTTGTCCATAATCACTATAATCGTTATCCTGCTCGGCTTCATAATGCCACGATACTACGATGCTTTCATTCCTACGGAACGCCGTTACGAAGGAACCGAGCCGACGGCACCGATGGAAACCAAGGGTGAACTAGCTGGCAGGCCCATTGCTGAGGTGGCAAGCGCTGAGCAAGGACACGGCGTCATGAGGGACTCGTCATCAGGGCAAGAGATGGATGCTCACAAGCATACCAACCCACCACCGTACACACCCAAAGGGCACATCAAGACGACCGGATCGAAAAAGACCACAGCTGGGATCTAGGTGCCAATTTCCTTCTCACGGGAGCCCGATAGATGGGCCTTAGGCGGCGCTGGCAGCGCCGCATTTTCTTGTTTCTTTAGGTGGTGACTTCCTTTTAGCGCAGTATTTGCGACATCTGTGGAAAGCAACCGTCATATATGCTGAGAGCCCAATGCCCAGAGCCCAGATTATGCCAAAGCAACTCGACTCTGCTGTCTACGGCACACCCAATGCGACTTTGCCGACCCAAGCCCTGATTCTATTGCCCTCAGTACTGGAGTACTGCTGAAACGCTCTTGCTGAACATTACAAGATCTATCGTGCTTTTTGAGTGACTCCGTCTTCTATACTAATCATCATCTGGAAATTTTGCGCCTAGGATTTGGAGATCAAGAGACGTGCCTGCGGAAGATCGGGCTTCTAGCGCGGTGTCCACAGATTCTGAACTGCTGTTAACACGGCCGGAGTTCAGATGAAGACCCACTCGCTCGCAGAGTCTTTGCGCTTGCCTACACACGCCTGTTAGAGTATAACCCGCTTGGGAAATAATTTCGCAAGACGCACAGCTCTCCTTCTGGATGGCCCGTACCGGTATTGGTCCTCCGCAATCACGATGCCGCCCTTCCGCGTGATACACTGCATAGGGCTGTCGGTATTTCCAGATTGCTATCCATATATCTAGATGAAGACATATGCATGTCGGGAGCCAAAGGTGGACGAATCCGGGGCAAGCGAGAAGCTTGTTTTCACGTGGCTGCAGATCCGCTGACGCCAGTGCGGCATAAGCCAAGCCAGCACGCAGACAAAGAAGAGTGCCTGAAGTGAGATTCCTTCTACATACACGCAATGCTGCATGCACATGTTTGCGCAAGGGTTTATTTGCCAACGATGCGGCCCGGCGAGTCAGACGGGTGGCCTGCCACTGCGCAGTTTGTGCGGAGACCCACTCAACCTCGCTCGTGGCAACTGCGCGACTTGTGCGGCCGCCACTGTCACGTTTTTGGACGATGAATCAGAAATGTAGGTAGCAATGACACATTTCGCAGAAAAGGCTCGAAAATTCGGGTTTCACTTATATCTGAAGGTTCCAGTATCGTGTTGTGTTTCCTTGAACGTTCCTTCCTTCGTCCACGCCCAGTCGCTTCCTTGATTGCTTTGATTGCGCGACGACAGCCGTTGGCTACTACCCCGGAACCAGCGCCCACTGACATCTATCAATCATCGCCTGAGCAAGAGAGTCATCCACCCGATTGATTGAGGAGTACCGACATTGTCGATATTACACAGCCAAGGTCACCCCGAACGCGAACCAGTCACCATGTCTCCCGCTGCGCCGTTACCCAGATTGCGCGATCCTGCGGTGAACGGCACCACAACGACGACATGCTTTATTTCTAATCTCCACTGCCCGTCATGTGTGGACGGTATCCAAGCCTCTCTCACCGCGCTCTCACCGCCGCCACAAGACGTATTCGTCTCCATCGTTTCACATTCAGTGGTTGTACGCCACGCCGCTTCTCTCAACCTTGACAACATCACCGTCTCGCTAGAGGCTGCGGGATTCGAGATACACAGCGTGTTTCAAGACATCAAGGCTGTCCGGAGTCCGATCGAGGTTAAGAACCCCGAGGGTAAGAGCAAGGAGTGGCACACTAGCTTTGAGCGCGCCGTCAATCACTGGCTACATCCTGCTGCCGACCTTGAAGACTCACACGACGACATGAAGAAGAAAGAAACTCACCTAGCTCAGTGCGAGCAGTGCAAGAGAGAAGGTGGTGGGGTTAGCTTGCACGGTGACGAGTTGCTGCGATTCAAGCCTGCGCCTATCGTCACGACTTCACCCAGAGGTAGCTCCGATGGCTTCTCGTCGCCTGAACCAAAGTCGCCTTTATCCGAGACATTCGTTGCTGTTGACTCACCTGCGGCCCCACAAGTCTACAAAGCAACGCTGTCTATTACCGGCATGACGTGCAGCTCATGCGTCTCTGCCATTACCCACGCGGTCCAGGAACAGCCATGGGTTCAGTCAGTCAATGTCAATCTCTTGACTAACAGCGGAGTGATAGTCTTTAGTGGCAAAGCGAAGTGCGAGGAGCTTGTCGAGACGATCGAAGATTGTGGGTTCGATGTCGCAGTGGAGAAGCTCGAGGAGGTGCAGACCACATCGCCCGGAGCTGTAGCCGCGTCGAAGCAACAGAGCGAGCGGTGGCGCGCAACATATTCTCTCGGAGGTCTGACATGCTCCGCCTGTGTCGGAAACGTCAACCAGGCGCTACGGCCTTTGACCTGGATTGAGAAGGTCGATATCAATCTTATCTCGAATAGTGCGACCATCGTATTCAGAGGCAAGGAACATCTGCCAGAGATCAAGGAAAGTATCGAGGATGTCGGGTACACCGCTACCCTCGATCGAGTTGTTCAAGAAGGGACCACAGTGACCGACACCATCGAGCGTTCCGTCGGGATTCGCATAGAGGGTATGTTCTGCCACCACTGCCCAGACAACATTACCCGAGGATTACAAGAAGCGTTTGAGAACGAGCGCAGTTTTGTAATCGACTCTCCATCACTATCGCTCGAGCAACCCATTCTACATGTCAGATATGTACCGGACCCTCCTCGCTTCACGATCCGAAAGATCTTTTCGACGATCAAGAGCCTCAACCCAGTGTTCCAGCCTTCGGTCTTCCACCCTCCGACACTGGAAGAGCGCGCGCGCGAGATGCATGCGGAAGAGCGGAAACGTATTCTGATCCGCCTCATTCTATGCATCATCACCGCGATTCCGACGTTCGTCCTCGGCATCGTCTTCATGAGCTTGATTAGCTCCAAAGACCCCATACGCACATACCTCATGGGCAAGATGTGGGCCGGCAACGTCACTCGATTAAGCTGGGCACTATTCTTCCTCGCTACGCCTATCTACTTCCTCGCCGCTGATACATTCCATCGGCGTGCACTGAAAGAGCTGAGATCAATGTGGCGACCAGGAAGCCGCACCCCATATCTGCACCGCTTTACCCGCTTCGGCAGCATGAACATGCTCATCTCACTCGGTACGACAATCGCATACCTGGCATCAATCGTAGAGCTCATCTTGGCTGCCACGAAGAAGTCTTCTGGTTCCATGAACGACTCTTACTTTGATGCAGTAGTCTTCCTGACGATGTTCTTACTTATCGGCCGTTTCTTGGAAGCTTATAGCAAAGCCAAGACTGGCGATGCTGTCACCTCGCTTGGAAAGCTTCGACCAAACGAGGCTGTTCTTGTCGACGCAGAAAAAGGCGACACTAAGATCGCGACAGATCTTCTCGAGGTCGGTGATGTCGTTCGAGTCCACAATGGCACTTCGCCACCGTTCGATGGAGATATTATTGAAGGCAGCACTAGCTTTGATGAGTCTAGCTTGACTGGCGAGTCGCGTCCGGTCAAGAAGACCGAGGGCGATACTGTGTTCTCCGGTACAGTAAACAAAGGTTCACCCGTCAAGATCAAGGTTACGACAGTATCGGGTACTTCCATGTTGGATCAGATAATCCATGCTGTGCGTGAAGGGCAGTCACATCGCGCACCGGTCGAACGCGTCGCTGATACTATCACTTCGCATTTTGTACCTTTTGTCATCGCCGCTGCCATCGTCACCTGGCTTGTCTGGCTCATCCTCGGTGCTACTGGTGCGATACCGAACGACTGGAAGAATGAATCTGCTGGCGGTTGGGAGCTTTGGTCTCTTCGCTTTGCCATTGCCGTCTTCGTCATCGCTTGTCCTTGCGGTATCGGACTAGCCGCACCCACTGCGCTCTTTGTGGGAGGTGGACTGGCCGCCAAACACGGTATCCTGGTCCGCGGTGGTGGTGAAGCTTTCCAAGAAGCGAGTTCACTCGACTGCATCGTCTTTGACAAGACGGGCACCTTGACACAGGGTGGCGATCCAGCAGTAACGAACCACAAGTTCTCTAACGGTCAGGACGCTGCAATCGTGTTGGGTATTGTCAAGGCATTGGAACAGAACAGCAATCATCCTATCGCTCGAGCGCTAGTCTCCTTCTGTAACAAGGAGACCCACACCAGACCTACAGCAGTCAACGTTGATGAGGTGCCTGGCAAGGGTCTCAAGGGTACTTTCAGGGTCGATGGACAAGAAATCGTGGCGATTATTGGTAATGAAAGCTTCATGGCTGACCATAACGTTCCTATCCTCGCCGACGATGCATCATCACTGCAGAAGTGGAAGTCGCAGGGAGATTCGGTCGCTCTAGTCGCCTTGTTTCTACCACGAACTGGTGAGCAAAGTGTGGCAGAGCAGTCCGAGCCATCCAACACGTCGGAAGCCCTGTCACTCGCCGTCACTGAAATTCAACCTGCGTCATCCTGGCGACTCGCATGTACCTTCTCTATCGCGGATCCGCTCCGCCCCGAGGCACCAGGCGTCATATTAGCCCTACAGTCACGCGGCATAGACGTCTGGATGCTTTCTGGTGACAACCCAACTACAGCCAACGCTGTAGGCGCGCAAGTCGGCATGCCAACTTCCAACATCATTGCCGGCGTCCTCCCAGACCAGAAAGCTGAGAAGATTAAGTACCTTCAGCAGACCCTCACCAAGCCACACAAGTCTATATTGAACATCCCCTTCCTATCTCGCAGGCAGAAGACGCAGAAACGCGCAACTGTTGCCATGGTAGGCGACGGCATCAACGACGCACCCGCTCTCTCCACCGCCGACCTCAGCATTGCAATCGGCTCTGGTTCTGACATTGCCCTCTCGTCTTCCTCCTTCATCCTCATCAACTCCCGCCTCACAACTATCCTCACCCTTCTCGATCTCTCCCGCGTCGTCTTCCGTCGCGTATACTTCAATTTCGGCTGGGCGCTCATCTACAACCTCGTCGCCATGCCCATCGCCGCAGGCGTCTTGTTCCCCATCACCACCGGCGGCAAGCAGATGGACATGCACCATAACGGCGTTGGAATGGAAGGCGGTATGGCGATGGAGGATACGGGGAGGAAGCATATCAGACTTGATCCTGTTTGGGCTAGTTTGGCGATGGCGTTGAGTAGTGTGTCTGTGGTCTGTAGTAGTCTGGCGCTGAGGAGCAGGGTGCCTGGTGTGGGGTTTAGAGTTAAGGGAGGAAAGGAGGGCACGGAGGGCACGGTGGATGGTGTGGAGAAGCAGAGGGTGGGGGATGAGGAGATAGTTTAGGAAGTAGTTAGGTAGATGGTGGCATGGTGTGGTAATGGTATCCCTATTCCGATGAATTCTCTCATAGCTATTCAAAATCCTCAACAACACTGCCGTACAAATTCTCCCAACTCCAATGCTATTCCTCTGCCAAATCCGGCAATCCTCTATCCTTAATTTCGAGACTCAAGTTCTTTTCTACCACTGCCCAGCCCTCTCCCGCCTTATACTTCTTCCGTCTTCCAACACTAATCTTCACATCCTCTTCACCCGTCTTATGCATTGCATAAGTCGTCTTCCATTGCCTCTCAGCAAGAAACCGATACTCAGAATCCCAATAATTCTGAAGAAAAGGAGAGGCTTTGTCATACCAAAGTTCTTCCTTGCTCTCTCGCTTTTCTTGTGGTGGTACTACAGGATACCAGTATTCCTGGAACTGGCTTAGCCCCATCGCATCCCTATACCAGAAGTAGGGATCGGGTATTATGATCGGCAGAGATATCTCTTCAGTGTTGTACTCATCCTCGTCATCGGCATCGTACGCGGTGTCTGGTATCGCCTCCCTTTTTGCGACTTTGGCAACATGTCTTTGTTCATGGACTTGTTCGTCTTTGTCATCGTTTTTTACAATGTCTTCATCTTCGCTTGACAAACGTTTCCGCTTCGGTGCCATGGTGGAGGAGCGGACTGGCGTTGCGAAGAGGAGGGAGGGGGAGACAGGAGAGTTCTCACGGACTTGGCGTACTTTCATTTCCCAGGCGCATTTTGAGCGTGGGCTTGGAATTGGTTTGTTGGTGGATGAAGGCAATGTGGGTGCTTGCTTTGGTGACATTTTTGTGGTTGTTTGTGTGGGTAGATGTAAGAGGATGATGGGAGGTTTGTTGGATGGGTTGGATAGGCTTTATAGAAATGCTAGAGTTGAGGGAGTCATCATGTAAAAGGTATGTGGGCTTTCTATTCGAAAAGCCATGACTGTGCCTATGATTTATCTGGTTCATTACTCTTAAAGAACGGAGAACCAGTCTGGGGGCTACATGGTGACCGGAAATGTCTGCATCAGCCTAAAGTAGAGGTATGTCGTCCAAGTAGTATACAATAGGGATGCGCTGAATGGATAGGTTGGAGCTGACAAATGTGGGATGTGGAGCCGACGAAAGAGTTGGGCGACATGGTAGTCGCCCGGGTGTGGTATTGCAAAGCGTTCTACCATGGAAATCAACGTTGTAGTCAGCAGAGGTCGCGCACAATGCATTGGGTATTATCTGTGTGGCAGGAAAATTCAAAAAACTCGAGTTCGTTCCTAACACTTGAAGGAATTTGAAGTGACTGTTAGCATATAGCAGAGTCTCAAACTACTGCGCGTGTATGGTGATTATAGGTATCGCGAGTGAGGTGCAATGTGTTCGAAGATGACGCGTATTGATTCTAAGGTTTGTATAGAATAAGGAGGTAATGTGAAGCTTTTCGCAGATCTTGCTGTGTGCCAGTGATGCAAGATGCAGGAAACATTCCTACGTCACGCCTTCGCGATGACTTTGAGTATGCGCATTTCCTAAGCCCATATGGGGTAAATGCCCTGATACCACCCTTCCCGATGACCCTCGTCCTTCCCTTAGTCTTGCGACCACCTCATCGGGTTGGCACGAACACCCTTCGCACCAGACGCCGAGGCAACAGCGCCCCTGCTATTCTTCTTCACCTCAGCCACTCGAACAGGCGGTCCCTGGCGTTTCTTGTTGTCCCTTTCGATTTTCTTGATCAGGTCGGGGGTGATCATGATCGGCTTGCGGGGGCCGTGACTGCGTTTGGCCTTTGCCGGCTTGGGTGGCGTGGAGTCGACGACTTTGATGGTTTCGACGATTTCTGATGGATGTGTCGACGAGTCTGTTGGTTCTTCAGAGATTGCCTCGAAATAAAATCTTGCGAGAGCAGGGGCGGAAGCCGAGCGGCGAAGGGATGCGGGTGCGGTTACGGGTGTGGACCGCGCAACAGGCCTCGTGAAGGCAGTTGGGTCCACCTTCGTCGCGCTTTCGGTGTCCTCCTCGTAAGCACTGGAGGGAGCGATAGCGATGGTGGATGATGCTCTGGGAGGGGAGGTTTGAACGAGAGACTCCTCGGATTTCTTTCCGCATGTCGAGCACTCTGACTGCTTTCGTGTGTTGTTGGAGGAGACAAGTTTACGAACGAAGCTGAACCAGCGCCTAACAGACGGCTTGTCTTTTCGTTGGACGCGGGTGGAGACCTTCAAATCGGCTTCGTTGATGGTAGTGCTGCTGTCGGTGCTCGCGCTCAGCCGAGCAAGGTCGGCGTTGGTGGTGGTAAGAGAAGCCATAGCTAGCGATGGGGTGTAAGATAGACAGAGAAAGTCTTATATGTGTCTGAGGAAAGTTGTACAGAAGAAATTTCCAGGCACACAGCTAGTTTATGGATGCTACCGCTCTTTACGCTGCCACCTTCAGATGGTCACGCTGCACTAAGTGATGACTGAAACCATGAGGCTCGTAGGCTGCGAATACATCATACGTAAATTGGCGTTGTAATAGAGCACCTACTGTTGGCTGAACCAGATCCACATCGCGGTATACCGAACTTTGAGTTCGCCAAGGTCAGGCGGCAGTGATCGTGGGAGACGGCCCAGGGTATGGAAAGGATCCAGAGCCAAGGCGCACCCATTGAACGCAACCATAAATCTATGAGTCGTGAGCATTAGGTAGAGAGAGGCAAGTGCATGTGGAAGGCACAAAACACGGCCAGTGACCTGATCGCCGCGAATGACTGCGATAGAATACCAAACCAATTCAAGACAACTCTGTGGGTCGAACAAGATCAGATGGTTAAGAAGTGGTATTCCCTGAATGATCCTATAGCGCCAGCCCAATGCCCATATTCTTATACACCAATATACAAAGTCGTGTATTTCGCTACTTGCGCGCTTCGACTGCCTGCTGGAGTGCTTGGGTGGTGCCCAGTGGCTGTGCGGCTCGGTCTAGAGGCTTGTCTGGTACGATGACATCCTCGAACTCATCCTGTGAGATGGCATTGATGGTGTATGTGTCTATAAGATATCAGTCATCGCTCTAGGCAGAGAAGGCATGTGCCATACAGATGCCAATGACCAGGGTGCAGATAGCGAAGCCAGTGATGGTGTTTTTGATCAGGTACGGCGCGCGGGTTCGCAGCAGGGCCGGCGATGCCCGCATGCGGTCGTCATAGTAGGTCGAGCGGAAGGGTTTGCTGTCGAGGTTAACATACACCCTCGATGTACATGCGCAATGCAACTTACTATCCCATGTTGGCGTGCTGAGACTCTCACTGCTTTGCGGGGAATCGCCAATGTCTCGCCGCGGTGGTGAACTTCCACCACGCTAGGCGGCCTTGGCGGCCAGGCGTAGATCATCATGGCACTGCCGCGAACCCTCCGCGTCACTCACCTCACCCGCAGCTGTAGTCAACAACACCCGTCGCGCAACCCCCCTTCCCTTCTTCACGCTCTCTACGCCTCTTTAATTATTAGCTTTGCTGGGAATGGGAGCGCCCTTGACGTCGGATACCGGGCTTTGTCGCGTTCTTAGTCTGACTGCCGTGCGCGCGTGAGGCAGCGTCACTTCTCTTCACCCTTTCGAAGAAACAAAGCTCGTCTCGTGTGCACTCGCCATCAGCCATCGCCATGAGTTCGCAAACGATACAGCAGATGGAGTCCGCCCGGTCGCTCGCGTTAGGCGACGGTAGATACTATCCTACCATCATACCGGGCGTGCTCCCCATCATCGGCTACAGTGAAGACCAGAGCATCGAGATACAGCGATGGGGTGCCGACTTTCTGGCCGAGGCTTTTGCGTCGCCAACATGGCCTCAAGACGTCAAGCAGAACAGCGCGCCCTCTGTGCTTGCTACCCTGAAGGCCTACCTCGACAATGTTGAAGACAAGAGCGTCATCAAGAGCGCCATCCAGGCGGCTGCCAGCGTTTACCCGCTTGTCTACAAACACATGTAAGTGACATCCCAGGCATCAGATAGAAGTCCCCATGTCAAATATGCCATGCGCATCTTGAGGTCCCCTTGCCAGATGCCCATGATTGCAGTTACGCGAACACGTTCTTATACTTGCATGTGTCAGTGTCTCCGACGCCAGCGATGCGCAAAAATGGCAACTCATGGCCGGCATCAAGTCCAACATCTTGCGACGAATGGATGCAGCTGCGCCCGGTGTGCGGATATGTTGCGTCAAGTTCCTCCAGCAAGTCGTCCTGGTACAGACGCCGGGCGTTACGGACCCTAGGGTAAATACTACACTCTACCCAATGTACACACAGCCATCTGATCCCTCGCAGCGCGCCGACCCAAACGACATCTCCCTCTCCCTCGTATCCCGCGACCACCCCCTCATACCCTACGCGAGCCTCGAGGCTGAAGGACACGGGCTGTTGGACAGGTTGCTGGATATTATACACGGAGATCACAGGTTAGATAGACAGTTGCAGACTGCTGGAATGCCTCTAACAGAGACTAGTGACGGCTTGCTTGTGACTGCCACACTCAACAGCTTGGGCATGCTAATCCACCGCCGCCCAAATGTTGCAAATAAGATCTTGAACAGTGTCTTCAACTTCAACCCTCTCAAGCTCGCCAATTCGCCCATGACGCCCAAGAACAAGGTCATCATGAAGTCGATTGAGCGTACAACAAGGGCACTGCTTGTGAACATCATAAAGAGGTATGTCTGCCTTGCTATATCATAGTACTGCTGATGCTCACAAACGTAGAAACTCCCCAGATAACCCCATCAACGGGCGGATACAGCAGTTCCTCGAACGCATGCATCGTACACGGGTTGAAGTGTTCGATGAATCTAACCGTAAACGTCCTGCACCGGTTGAGCCTACTGATGGTCTTGACCCAGCAAAGAGGCAACGGCTGGTTGCTGAGCCTCCAAGTCGCACGCCATCCGTCCAGCCGCTACCGCCTGGTGAAGTGAGCTGGCGACAACTATACACACTGAACGCTGAGGGCAGCACTGCGAACTTCGATGTGCAAAACTTCAGAGATCCCGAGCAATTGCTGAGGATAGTCGTGCCTGTTCTGCAGTCGGTGAACCCACAGAAGCTTGAACAAGCTATCAACGTATGTGATGTTCCCTGTCCAATTCAGACTCACGTTGGCCTACACGTTTCAGGCTTTATTGGAGGTGTCAGTCGTAGCCGTGCTAACATCATCTAGGCCGTCCGCGCTCGTTATCAGACACTCAAACACACCGCACCAAGTCGCCCTGTACAGCCCCCACCGACCGCCGCCGCAGAAGACGAAGAAGAATACGAGCCCGACTTCGAGCCCGAAGACGCTGAACAACTCATCAACAAGCTCGATGGCATCCCCTCGAATCCCTTCTCCTCACAAGGCGGACCGTCAACCGCGTTAGCACCCTACAAGCTGCCCGAGGCACCTCCGTTATCAGAACAGGATGTTCAGAAGTACGGTGACATGACCGTACATCGAGCCTTCGGCATGCTGAGCAGTGTAGATGAGACACAGAAGAGCAAAGTCGCTAAAGGCGGCTTCAACCGACTTGCGGCCACCGATTACAACAGAGACGCCTGGGTCACTATACTCTCTCGGCTAGCTACACGAGCCAGCGCTGGCCTAGACGACCCGGAAGAAGGCATCAAAGATGAATACGCCGTTAAGAACGCCAAGGGCAATATGCGCATCAGCGATGCGGTAAGAGATGGCCTGTATCAGTACATACTGTACAACTGGAAGTCTCGCATCGACGTCGCCATCTCATGGCTCAACGAAGAATGGTACAACGACATGGTCCTCGCCGAGTCCGCCGAAGACACCGCTACAAACGGTTCCTCCAACCACCACACATCGCCGAAGCCACCAGGGAACTACCATCGCTGCGCCCTCCGCCTCATCGACGGTATCCTGCCCTACATCGAACACACCGACAAAATCATCATCCGCTTCCTCTCCGAGATCCCTGCCATCGACTACAGCATCCTCGTACGTCTCAAGAAGATGGCCGAAGACCCTGAGCGCATCGACTTGGCGTGTAACACACTCCACTACCTGTACATGTTCCGTCCTCCTGTCCGCAAGATCGTCGTCGATATCCTGGCAGAGATGTGGACGGAGAATGAGCGGGCGAAACCTAGTGCGCAGAAGTTGTTGGTTAGATGGAGACCGGAGGTACTTGGCGATGGAAGGAGCGTCAGTATGCCTACTATGGTTAAGAACGAGAGTAGTGCGGGGGCTGGTGGGGATGCGCAGATGGTTAAGGAGAGCGCTAATGGCGCTTTGGAAGTTAAGGCTGTTTCGTAGATGGGGAGATGAGGAGAGAGGAAACTGGGATGGAGACGAAGGAAGGAACATGCCATGGGTTTGGATTCGAGGCGTTCGTTTCTTCACGTGTATACCTATCGATTTCATTCGTAGGATTGTGTTACGATAGGAAGTAAGGAGGCTTACACCACAGTAAGACGGGAGAAAAGGATGTGGGAAAGCCAAGGCTCCAACCCAGAGAGGTTCTGCGTGGTTCCACGAAGACATAGTGCAGCCAGTGTATAACATTTCCAATTTGTTCAAAACACGAATCTGCATTCATCCATTGGCACTTTTACTTTACGTCGTAGTGATCGTTCCTATGCTAATACATCTCCATCGAAATCACATCATCCTCCTCTAACAAACACACACGCCATCTACTCAATCTTCATCTTCTGAAACTGCTCAATACTCGCCTCCCAATTCCTGGCCTCCAGCTCCGCAGTCCTCAGCTTCTCCTTCTCCTGCTCCTTGACCGCATCACTAACCTTCTGCTCCCACTCATCATCCATAATCTTCTTCTGGCGCGTAATCGTCTCGTTGGCTTTGACGAGGCGGTCTTGAGCCTTGGTAATCTCCTTGTCGAGCTCAATGCGGCCCTTGACGTCAAGGTACGCGGTCGCGGCGGTGCCGATTGTGTAGACGGCGCAGCCGGAGGGGATGGAGTCGGTGGGGGATAGGATTTTGATGTCTGCGACGGTTTTGCCGGCGAGGGAGCGGATGGAGGGGAGGGAGGTGGGGGTTGAGAGGGTGGCGTGGGTAGAGTCGTCCAGGGACTTGATGTAGGTGGATGCGCCTTCCTTGATGGCGTATTCGGCGGTTAGGGAACGGAGACCCTTAGCGCTGTCGACGAGGAGCTCGTATTCGGCGTTTGCGGTTTCGTCTTCGAATTCTGGCTTGTACTGGGGGAAAGGCGCGATGGTGATGGAGGGGGTGGAGTCGCCTTGACGGCGGGGGAGACGCTGCCATAGCTCTTCGGTGAGGAAGGGCATGAAGGGGTGGATCATGTTCAGTCCTCCCTCGATGGAGGTGTAGAGCGTCTGTTTCGCGCTTTCCTTCTGCTCTTCGCTGCCTTCGTCGAAAATGGCCTTGCTGTTCTCGATGTAGGTGTCGCAGAGGTAGACGTAGAAGTACTTGTAGGCAGCCTGGGTAGCCAGACTGAACTCGCGTGCCTCCAAGTGGTCGTTGATCTTCTTGGAAGCGACATTGAGCTGATGCAGAATGTATCGCTCAGGTAGTGACTCTGAGCCTCCCTTTGTGACCTTCTCTCGTGGTGTGAAGTTGTCTCCCAGACGTCCAATGACGTATTTTGTGGCCTGGTAGATCTTGTTACAGAACCTTCGGTATCCGTGGATGACCTAACAACTGGTCAGTATATAACATTGAGAACGGTATATGGAAATCGCTTACGTTAACATCGAACGAGATGTCACCTCCTCCTGTGGTGTACCCAACAAGTGCCATGCGCAGCGCATCAGCACCGCACTCGGGGATACCCTGAGGGAAGGCTGTCTTCTGATACTTCTCCGCCTTGGTCAACTCCTTGGGATCAAGGTTACCAGCGCGAAGCTGGTCGTGTAGCTTCTGCAGAGTGATACCATCCATGATATCAACAGGGTCCACAACGTTACCCAGCGACTTGGACATCTTTCTTCCGTCCGAATCACGGATGAGCGAATGGCAGTAGACCTCCTTGAATGGGACCTTGCCGGTGAGGTACAAGGAGAGGAAGATCATCCTAGCAACCCAGAAGAAAAGAATGTCCCATCCGGTCTCGAGAACAGATGTGGGGAAGAGCTTCTCCAGGTCGGCGGTCTGGTTGGGCCAGCCGAGGGTAGAGAATGGCCACAGACCGGAAGAGAACCATGTGTCAAGGACATCCTCGTCCCGTGACAGCGTGAACTTCTTGCCCGGGAACTTCTTCTCAGCCTTGGCCCGCGCCTCCTCTTCTGTCCGGCCGGTGATCCAGAGCTCATCTTCACTTCGGTCACCCGCTTGACCTTCGATTTCAACAAAGTACGCGGGAACCTGGTGACCCCACCACAGCTGTCGAGACAAGCACCAATCTTGAATGTTGTTCATCCAGTGCATGTAGACCTTCTCGGAGGTGGCGGGCCTGATCTTGATGTCGCCCTTCTCGACGGCTTCGATAGCGGGCTTAGCTAGGCTGTCCATCTTCATCCACCATTGCGGCTTCATGATAGGCTCGATGACGTCGCCAGATCTTGAGCAGATCGGGACCTTCATGGGGTTAGGCTCCGTCTTCACAAAGAGGTCGGCCTTCTTCAACGCATCAACAACGGTGTAGCGGACATCGAAGCGCTTGGCGCCTTCGAATTGACCAGCGTTCTTGTTCATAGTTCCGTTGTCGTTCAAGATGTTGATGAACTCAAGACCGTGCTTCTTTCCAAGGTTGAAATCGTTGGGGTCGTGCGCTGGAGTGAGCTTCACAGCTCCGGTACCAAACTCAGGGTCGACATAGTCGTCAGCGACAATAGGCATGAGACGGTCGATGAAGGGGTGACGGGCTTTCTTTCCGACGAGGTCCTTGTAACGGTCGTCCTTAGGATGGACAGCGATACCGGAGTCACCGAGCATAGTCTCGGGACGTGTGGTAGCGATCTCGATGAACTGGTCGGTGCCTTCGATGGCGTACTTGAAGTGAGTAAGAACACCGAACTCAACCATCCTCTCGTACCCGGGCACAGATAGCTTGGTAGGTCCAGCCAGATCCTTGTTGTCGACCTCAAGTGTACTAAGCGCTGTGTTGAGAGCCGTACACCAGTTTACCAATCTGTTACTGCGGTAGATCAAACCATCTTCGTGCAGGCGCACGAAGGTTTCCGTAACAGCCTTGGAGCAGTTCTCATCCATGGTGAAGGCCTCGCGTGTCCAATCGAACGATCCACCCATTCTGCGCAGGGTGTTGGTGAGATGCTGATGGTATTCCTCCTTCCACTCCATAGTCCGCTCAAGGAACTTTTGGCGACCAAGATCGTATCTCGTCTTGTTCTCCCTCCGCTTGAGCATCTTCTCGACAACGGACTGTGTAGCGATACCAGCGTGGTCGCAACCAGGCAGGTACAGGGTGGTGTAGCCCCTCATCCTATGCCACCGTATGAGGACATCCTGGAGACTCGTAGCGAGCGCGTGACCGCAGTGTAGCTTTCCGGTAACGTTGGGTGGCGGGATAGGAATGACGAAGTGACCGGGCCCCTTGACGTCTCCATTCTCGGCGAACTGGGGCTTGAAGAAGCCCTGGGAATCCCACCATGCATCCCATGCCGACTCGACGACCTTGGGTATGTATGCCTTTGTGTATGCGTCGTCTAGTGGCCTCAGCCTCTTCTTCTCGCCCTTGGGTGTCTCTTCGACGTATTCTGGTAGTTGCTCCTCCTCCTTGCCCTTCTTCTTCTTCTCTTTGGCTGGAGCGGCGGCATCCTTGGAGGCACCGGCAGCGGCTGCCTTCTTTGCCTTGAACTTTGCATCCTTCTCCGCCTTCTTGCGCTCCTTCTCTAGTTCCTTGGCGGACTTCTCCTTCTTCTCTACGCCCTTGTCGTTCTCACGGCCGGGCGCATGTTGGCCGGTAGCCTCGTTCTCGGCAGCGCCAAGGATGTCTTTCTTGACGTCTGAGCTGAGCTCGGGCGGCGGCGCAGTGTTTGGCGTCGTCTTCTCGCCGGTCGAGTTGTGGGAGGACGCGTTGAGCGCCATGGTTGCGGTCGAGTAGTGGTGTTTGTGGGTGAGCACGCGCTCAGCGTGAAGCGGCGTGTAGGTTCGCGATAGGCTGCGGATTGGCCGTCTCAATTGCAATGGGCGTCTGGCAAGATTTTGAGAATCGAGGTTTCGTCTGCAGGCGGCGCGCAGTGTAGTGGGCGCGGTGCGGGGCAACATTAACAAAAAAGTGCCTGGGTGTGAGTCGTCCAAGTCCGGCCTGCGTCACCCCACATCCTCGAGCTCGGACGGACCCCGCCTACGACGACGAACCATTGAGCCATGCTCGTCGCTCCATGACTGCATACAACACAGTCATGACGGGACACAGTCATTGCCAGACGATAGGAGCTCTCCGATCTCACATCGGGAATGCCCGACGATGATTCATATGCGATGAAAAGCAAAACACCAGGTGAGGTGCACAAGTCGAGTCAGAGATAAGTGTGTCACAAAAAGATTCGTCATTGACTACCGTGAGCATAAAACACTTCTAGCAAGAATGAGCGTCCACCAACACCCCAATATGCATTGAGCCGAGTACTTGTTGAGCTTTGTTTGCTCCCATGCGCCTGCGATGTACCATTGCGCTCCCCATCGCTTATACAAGAACGATACCTAGCACCTTGCCCTATGCACTGCCGCTCCGTGATGTGCGCCTTGTGCTTGTACGCCGGCACCTCGGTTGTGTCTCAAGCCAAAAAAACTTGGAACGGATAGATGGGAGACCGAGTATTTCGTTGCTGTAACTTTTATGCTATTACATAAAGTCTAATTACGTGAATGGGTATCTCAATCATGCCGCGGTGCTGTTTTGCTGCGCGGCCTGTCGGACGGGCGCAAAGTAAGGATGTTGCATGGCCTCTTGGGCAGTCAGTCGGTCCTGATACATGTTAGTCTTTGACACCGCATCGTTACATATGACAGAACGTACCTGGTGATCGTATCGCAGCAGTTTGTCGAGGAAGTCAATCGCATCGTTGCTGACAAAGCGCTGGTTCTCGGCATTGATGAACGAGTGCCACGGCTTCTTGGGATACCGACTAAGTATGTCGTCGTACTGGGCGTCTAGCTCAATGTCGTACTTGTCGAGATAGTCGAACAGGTCCTCCGTTCCAAGCACCTTGGCAATCTTGACGAGCTGGTCAGAGTTGCTGTTGCCGTGGAAGAATGGTTCCCGCCTGAAGATCATTGAGGCGAACATGGCACCCAGCGACCACATATCAAGCGAGTAGTCGTACTCTTGGAAATCGACTAGTAGCTCGGGGCCCTTGAAGTAACGTGACGCGACACGGACGTTGTATTCGGTTCCTGCATGGTAGAACTCCGCTAGACCCCAGTCGATTAGGCGCAACTAGTACTCGTTAGCTGTGCTCCTCTGCTCTGATAGGATGTGCGCACCTTCCGCTTCTCATGATCGATCATAACGTTATGAGGCTTGACATCACGGTGCATGATGCCTTTGCTGTGGCAGTAGTCGAGGGCCTTGAGCAGCTCGAAGATGTAGTATCGCACGTCGTAGTCCTGGAACTTGGGGTACAGACTCCGGAAGTCAGTATTGTTGACATATTCGAATATCAGCGAGGGTGTTTTGCTCTGTTGATCGCTGGTCAGCTTTATTCTCAAGCACGCGGCAGCGGTTGGGCCTCAGTACCCAGTCGCCAATCCAGTCGGAGCCGTCACTAACCTGGTTGTCGCGCACCACGTCCAACAGCGAGACGATGTTGGGGCCACCCGACAGATTCTGCAGGATCTTGATCTCACGCTTTATCTTCTTCTTCTTGACAGGCTTGAGGACCTTGATGACGCATTTCTGGTAGTTAACCACGTTGATGCCCTCAAAGACCTCCGAGTACTTTCCGCGGCCAATCTTGCGGACGACCTCGTAGTTCTCGAGCACGCCCCAGGAGATGTTCACCGAGTCGTAGTCCCAGTACGACCGAGGCATGTTCGCGTTGACATCGGCGTAGACGCGAGCGAGGCTTGTAGCCCCGCTACTATTGTTCAACGCCATTCGGACAACAAAGCAGTTCTCCGGGAGATCTGTGGAATTCCACTTTGCGCGTTCTTCGAGGTCTGTACTGAGATCTCTGCGCCAAGGGGCTGTTGTATCGAGCGAGGGGTCGTATGGTGGGGTGAAGAAGCGGAGGAGGTCGGGACCCTGGGAGAAGAGGGCAAGGCCTGCAAGCGCACCAAGGACAGCGAGCGCAAGGAGCGGGTATGGAGGAAGGCGCGACAGAGGGCCGTCACGGCAGTCGCGATGGGCCTCGTGGTTGGGCGGGGGTGCCTGGGTGTTGGCGGTGGTGAGCTCTGGCTGCTCGTGTTGGTGGTGGAGGATGGCTTGTGGGCGTTAGACTAGTACCAGGCAAGGGCCAAGCTTTTCCGGCAGGCGGGCCCAGGTGCTGATGACGATCCCTTCTATCTCACTTACAATTATTTAGCTTGCGCTGCCGCACTTCCCCTTCAACCTCTGCAGTAGTCATTCTAGCTAGTGCAGCCATGTTTCACGACCTGAACGTTCCCTGGACGGACGCGACGCGCGAGCTGCAGCGCACAGTAGCTTTCCTCGACGAATGTGAGTTCTTCGAGTTGTAGTTGAATGCGCCGGCGGTGGACTGACGCGGTGCAGTAGGATACGACGTCGTTGCTCTCACGCACACATATTCGGGAAAACTGCCGACTGATATAGTACGTCGAGGAAACTGCGACCCTTTCACGTTCCTCTTTTCAATCGCTAATGCGCTGCTCAACCAGAGTTCGCCTGTACCCACAAAACTTCCCTTCCCGGTTCCTTCACGCATGCGCATCCTACGACGATGCAACATCTTTCTTACCGATTCGGCCTCCAACTTCCGCATACCACAGCTCCAGCAGCAATATGACCTCGTAGCCGCGCGACCTACAGACGACCGCACCCTCCAGCAGGCATGTCAGAGTCTGGACGTAGACATAATTTCACTCGACCTGACCCGGCGATTCGAGTCCCACTTCAAGTTCCCTACGCTGGGGACAGCTATATCCCGTGGTATTAAGATCGAAATATGCTACAGCCAGGGTATCATGTCGAGCGATCCCGCCGCAAAGCGCAACCTGATTAGCAATGCGACACAGCTCATACGCGTGACCCGTGGTCGGGGCCTCATATTTAGTTCGGAAGCGAAGAGCGTGCTAGGCATACGCGCACCAAGCGATGTCATCAACCTGGCTTCCGTCTGGGGACTCGGCACAGAGAGAGGCAAAGACGGTCTGACAAAGGAGCCTAGGAGTGTAGTCGAGTATGCACGATTGAAGCGCCAGAGCTTTAAGGGCATCATAGATATTGTCTATGGTGGAGAGAAGCCAGCGCAAAGCTCTGCGGCTAAGGGCAAGGACAAGCAAGATCCGAAGGGGAAAGCAAACAAGAACCAGAACGGCAAGCGACCAGGCGAGAGTTTGGAGGGCACTCCCCTGCACGAGACCAAGGCAGAAAAGCCAATCTCGAAGCGCCAGCAAGCCAAGAACAAAAAGGCAAAAGTACAGGAGGGGGGTGGAGAAGTGACAGAATCCTAAGGAAGGAGTATTTTGACTCTATCTAGATAGACGGCAGATGATACCCATAGACACGAGCAGCAATGCACAACAAAGATCATACCCACACCTTTGTATTCTCTCAACATTACTACCTCGCAGGAACACTCAATGCTCAACTGCTACGATCAACTATATAACATAGAAACTAACAAAGCATAGACATCTGGATATTGCCAAATATGAGACATCTACCACCACCACATCGCTGCCTGAACCTCCGGCGTCGGCTTCACCAACCTCCTTCCGAGATTCACCGTGACACGACTCTGTAGCGCAACAGTGCTGATATCGAAAGGTAGGGGCTCTTCAACGGGCGTTGGCGCAGGGGCGCCGGCTGCAACTTGACTCTGAGCCTGCGCGCTTGTTGTTGCTTTTGCAGGAGAGGAAGAAGCTGCTGGTGCAAGCGATACCTCGACAGATGGTGTTACACTTGCAGATGATGATGTTGCAGCCGCCGAAGAAGCAGAAGCAGAAGCAGAAGCAGATCCGCTAGCCATCATAGTAACACCCGCTCCAGCCGCACTGGTCGTGGTTCCTGCGACAAGGCCAGGCCGAGTCAGTGTAGCCGAGTCGATAGCTACGGTGCTGCTTGAGCTTGTCGAAGCAGCCTGCTGTGCTCCAGGGGGTGGTGAACCCCCGGCCTCAACAGTTACCGCACTGCCCACGACAGTCTGCATGGTACTTTGACTCATTGTTGGCGCGCTGCTCATGGATCCTAGTTGGAAGGGCTGGGCCTGTGGTGCGGACATGGGGAAAGATCCAGCCGGACACATGCAAGCGCAGTTGCATTGAGAAGCTGCTGTAGCAGCGGCTGCACCACCAGATCCTGCGACGACGGTGACTGCAGCCGCAGCTTTTGTGGTAGTTGTAGCTCCCGCGAGGCCGGCGGCGGTCCCATTGCTTCCTCCGCCTGCGACAACAGTGACCGCGGCTGCTGCACCACCCGAGGATGCAGTACCGTTCGTTCCAGATCCTGAGCCGGCGACAACCGTAATCGCGGCTGCTGCTCCACCTCCACCAGAAGCGCTGGCAACTCCAGCAGTACTGTTTCCATCGGCTTTGACTGTGACTGCCATGCCTACTGCAGTTGTTGTCGTTGCAGCAAGACCTCCGGCCGTAAGCTTGGCCGAGTCGATCGCTGCAGTACTGGCGGAAGTGGAATTTGAAGCACCTTGAGCGCCAGCTGCGGGCTCTGATCCGGCCGATACAGTCACAGCAGCTGCAGGTGCCATGGCGGCTGCCGAACCCTGGGGTAGCGTTAGCGATGTACAGAATGGAACATAACTCAACAACGTACAGTAGAGTTCTTGCTTTCCGCTAGACTGGCTGTCTGCATAGGCTCAGCAGCGGGCATAGCGGCCCCCTTAGCACCCATGCTGCTTGAGTTTCCAGCAGCCATACCTCCCATCTGGGAAGGCGCATTCGTCCAGGGAATAGGGGTCACTTTTGGCAGAGCTGACTTTCCAGCGGGGAAGACTGTCTTTACCGCCTTGGAGGAAGCGGACGCCTCTGTCGGCTTCTCGACAGCGGCAGACGATGCTGATGCAGTGGCTGCCTCTGGTGCCTCGGCCGCAGCCTTCGACGATGTAGCTGAGGCTTCTTCGGCAGCTGATGACGAAGCTGATGCTTCTCCCTTGGCTGGTGACGATGCCGGTGCTGCTTCTGCAGGTGCTTCCCCTTTAGCTGAAGACAACGTAGTTGGTGCCTCTGCCTCTGCCGGTGATGAAGCAGATGCTTCAGCTGGTGCTTTTACGGCGGTTGATGACGATATGGCAGTGGCTTCTCCGGCCGCTGGTGACGATGCTGACGTTGCTTCAGCTGGGGCTGATGGCGATGCTGCTGCCGGCGCTTCTCCAGCGGGAGGTGTCGTTTCGGCTGCTCCCTGCGGCGGTGCTTCGACAAGCGTTGCTGCAATCTCCTGGCCATTGGGTTGAGTGACGATAGTCTGAACTATCTGAATAGTTTGAAAGTTACTCCCATTTTGTGGTGCTCCAGACTGGGATGGTAGTTGGCCTTGTCCATTTGGTGCGAGTTGATTCGCTAGATCTCCAGCAATATCGGCGCTGCCACTCTGACTAGAACCGGGTTTGGGGGCCAGCTGGTTTGCAAGATCTCCAGCAATGTCGCTCGACTTGATGCCACCTGCTGCTCCTTGGTTGGCACCCTGTGTCGTTCCTTGCGCACCACTCTGGCCCTGCGGCTGCGGGTTGCTGGTCTGGTTTGTCGATGGACTCTGCTTTTGCCCATTAAGCCCAATGAGGATGTCGTCAACGCTCGTGGAGCCCCCACCGGCAATCTGGTTTGCGAGGTCTCCACCGACATCATTCGTGTTAATATCTCCGTTGCCACTCCTTTGGCCTTGTCCTTGGCCTTGCGCGAGCCCATTCAACAAGGCGTTTGCGTCGAGGCCGTTCTGTGCAAGCCTGGCGGCAATGTTTCCATTGTCCAGTGCGCTGGCTTGCTCGGCAGCAGGTACGTTGAGTGCCTCTGTATCCCGTCGTTGCCAGTCGAGTCCCGATACCAAATTGTCGATACGTCTGCCCGAGACTTCGGTTCGTATGTGAGTATTGTGAAGATCAAGTACTGCCTGAGTGACCGTCTATACGCAGTCAGTGAAGAGTCTCTACAAGCAAATGACATACGTACTGCACTCATGAGCAGCAGGGCTGGTACCCAGGACGATCGAGTTCTAGTCATTGTGGAATTCTTGATGAAGTGAGAACCGGAAACGATGGAAAAGAAAATTAGTAATTAGTACATCAACAGTCCAGCTGGAGTAGAATCGAAGGCGATGTCACAGACATGCAGAACCTCTCAGTACCTGCACAGCAGAAAGACCGAAGAGTTGAAGATGGAACGGAAACGTGTGGACACACAATGGAAACAGATAGTCCGGATGCAAACGAATGTAAGCTTCCGATAGTGCGAGAGCATGCCAAACCGTTCAAAGGTTCATGACTGAGGCGAAAACTATCCTACTTAACGGGTCCGACATGTCAGCCCCGCTCAGCATGTTTCTAACCGTGTGGTGCTGGTTTCGAGCCTTCGCGGCTACTCGAACAGTGTTCAGGTGCGTCTCAAGGGTCGGAACGGTGTTCCTCAAATGGAGTCCCAGCGCGCAGTAGTGCAGCCGGTGATGGCATTGTCGGGTCAGCCTAGTTATCAGGGTTTGTTCCAGGCCAGTAACGTGCGATCCATGATCGACAGGCCCGCGAAAAGCGATTTTGGTGGTAGTCAAGCTTCACGATCGTCTGGCCAGCCGCTATGGTGGTGTAGTCTGACACGCGATGTGCGCGAGGCGATGGGGTTCACACCGGAGGCGTTTCACTCTGTGGAACATGGCGTTTTCTTCCTTCCGCTCGTGCATGAACGAAATCGATCTTCCATTACCGATCTATTTCCGCCCAAGTGCCGTGCGATAGAAAAGGCTTATCAATCGCGAAGCTGCAAAGTCGCGTTGTGCTGTGAAGCATGTGCGTAGCTGGTGATCGCGGGAGAAAGTCGTGCCTAGTAATCGTGGCTTGGCGACCGATGACGTGCGTCATTACGCTGGGCCTGACGCTTGCCAGCCCCTGGGGCCAACTTCCATCGCAAAGAATACGATTCTCGCTCGTCGGAGTCGGCCAAATTTTGCCAGCGCAGCGTGGAACGTTCGGCTTCCGTACGTAGCGACGTAGCTGTAAGCTCTAGGCTTCTGTATATGTAGGCGCAACTCTGCTGTCAAGGTCCGCGCACACAATAACAGCACCGTCCAGCGGTCATCATGGCCGCCATACACGTCCTCGATGATTATTATCTTGCCATCACCTTCCTCGTTACTGTTGCATACCAGCTGATCGGCTTTGCGATAGCCTTTTCGTTCAAGTTCGACAAACTTACCGATTTTGCTGGCGGCACCAACTTCATCCTTCTTGCGATCATCACGCTCTCATGCAGTGAGAACCGCGGCGATGCGCGCAACATTGTGGTATCGCTATTTATCATGCTGTGGGCGGCAAGACTGAGCGGCTTTCTTCTTTTCAGGATTCTCAAGACTGGCAAGGATGATCGTTTCGACGATAAGAGGGACAAGTTCTGGTCGTTCCTCGGATTCTGGGTGTTGTGAGTAGCTACAGACGTAAGCTGGGTGTCATTACTGATGGGTTACAGTCAAATGTTCTGGGTTTGGACTGTATCCATGCCGGTCACTATTCTGAACTCTCCAAAAGTCACTCGATTCAATCAGCCAGACTTTGGAACAGGCTGTGATATCGCTGGCATCATTCTGTGGTCAATTGGTTTCATCATGGAAAGTGTTTCCGACGTCCAAAAGTACAGGTTCCGTACTGCTCACGGTAGCGACGGCGCCGTCTGCAATGTCGGGTTCTTTGCCTGGACGCGCCACCCGAATTACTTCGGTGAGATGCTCATCCAGTTCGGTAGGTGTTGCTCATTGAGTTTCTTTGGACCAAAACTGATTATGACAGGTATATTCACGATCGCTATATCCCCGGCTGCAAACAACTACGTCTCGGGCGGTGCATATGACGCTCTGTACGCGTCTATTCTCGGTCCATTCTTCCTGACTCTGCTACTCATGTTCGTATCCGGCCTTACGCTACAGGAACGACCTGGCGCAAAGAAGAGATACGAGAAAGGCAACCGATGGCCCGAGTACGAGCAATACCTCCACCGAACGAGCATTCTCATCCCTTTCCCGCCACAGCTTTACGCCAAGCTGCCCGTCATTCTAAAGAGAACCATCTTCCTTGAGTTCCCAATCTATGTCTTTGATCCAGCCAAGCATGCAGACCAAGACAAAGTGCAAGCCAGAAACGCGGAGGAAGGTCAAACCAGGCCGAGTGATGAGCAAGGCCTTAGATCTTGAAGTATCAGATGTTCGATATAATGATACCCCTTTGTTGATTCTCTATCTTTATATAAACAACATTGTTAGAGCGCTTCGTACCGCATAATCGTAATTCAATATTCTCCCAAAAGGCATGCACAAATCAAAATCAGCATTCGATTATGTGAAATCGTCATGGTGCCATCAAAACTTGACGTGCAGGGTAACAAGCCAAAAGGCGGTTTATGTTTGTTCTATGCTAGATCTGTGTACCGACGTAGTCTGATGAACCACACGTCGCCTGCCCCTGCGTTAGGGGTGGCAAGAGCTCCAAGACTACAGATCCCAGCAATCCTCGTGCAGCGCATCTCTCGCCAAAGCTTCCACCGACCTCCGAGCAAGCCGTGTCCATGTCGGCGATGACATGTGAGAATGCAATCACCAGGTCGAGCAGTGGGATACAGCCTGCTTAGTCAGTCGCTGAGCGAATCAATCCACCCGGCCTTATCGCGCGAACATTGAAGATCACCTCACGCCATCGCATAAACCACACCCACGGGACGATGAGAAGAGTCAAAACCATCGAAATTTGTACCTCATGCTCGCATCTTTCCTTGGCTCGTCGTCTTAGTTGGACGACTAGCAGCCATGAGCCTGCTGGCGCCTGTTTCCAACTCGGAAACTACTTCCATCCCGCGTCCCCAATCGATTAGAGCACCTGGAGATGCGATTGCGTCATTGCGTCACTCTGAGATGGCCTGTTTGTAAGACTGGATGGGTGAATATAAGAGCCTGAAAACGCGCTTCGCCCTGCCGTTCGACCACCCTAGCATATCCTACATCCTTGACACCAATTCTTTGTCATCTCAACAAGACAACACTTGTTTTCAAGATCGTTGCGAAAGCTGAACCATCAGAATGACTACTACCCCAATTCACTCAACTGGCCGCGGAGGTATGCCCTGCATGATACTTCAACATGCAACAACAGGAAAAGCTGATCGCTGACGCAGGCGCCGGCAACATTGGCCCCGACACCAACGTCTACACTGATGGAGGCATGGTTCGCGAGGGCGTTCAAGGCGACTCTCTCGATGGAGATTTCTCCACTGGCCGTGGGGGAGCTGGCAACATCGGAAAGTCGCCTCGCGTTGGGCCGCAGTCTGACGAAGGTCGTCGCTCAGTAGACATGGTACCTGAGATCAACCAGCGCAACCCGCAAGACGAGTTTCACACCGGCGTACGTCATGTTATATGAGTAATAGCAGCCTCAACTGACATAATTGTAGCGAGGTGGAGCCGGAAACGTATACAAAGAAAAGCATGGCGGCCACAGCCAGTCACCCGACCGCAAGGGATTGGGCGACAAGGTCAAGGAAGTACTTCATTTGGACAAGAAGAAGGAACATGAGCCATCTCCTTTGGCACAGAACACGACTACGAACTAGATATGATACCCAAGTCAAGCGACTTTCCTGGAGGACTGGTAGTGGTATGAGCGTTGGACATCGATGATACCTCAGGCTATAATCTCGACTATGAGACAGCCTCGTTTTCCCTTTGGTAATTAATAGACACAGACACTCTCTCAACCATGTCTTTAAGTTTTGTATGACCTACCTGGATTGATGTCTGCATCGTGCCTGACTATGATGGTGGGATGAACACTAGCGCGGACCACGTGGGGTAGTCGCGATCGCAAGTCGCGTCATTGGGCTCCAGAAAATCCACCAAACTTCACACCCCAACAACACCTTTGCGCAACATCACAATGAGTTCCAGCGAACATGACGCCGAGGCCCTCGTGCACTCCGATGACCCAAGTCACCCCGCGAACCACATCTGCACGCTCTGCGCGAAGTTTTATAGCTTGGGCTGGGTACGATGATCTCCAGGCGTCAGGGGGACGCGGATGAAGACAAGATCGAGTGATGGCTAACACGGAGATTCCGCCAGGTGACAGGCACTGGCGGAGGAACGAGCATACGCCATGAAGACAAGATATACATTGCGCCCAGCGGCGTACAGAAAGAGCTCATGAAGCCCACCGATATGTTTGTTATGGACTTCAACAGCAAGGAGTACTTGAGGAGACCACAGGTATATCGCGCGATGTTGGACCATGGGAAGATAGCTAAGGAGCATTTAGGTCCTTAAACCCTCAGCGTGCACGCCTCTCTTCCTCGCAGCCTTCGAACGCGGCGCCGGCTGCTGCATCCACACACACTCGCAATGGGCCGTCCTCGTAACCCTCCTCGTCGAGCGCGATTTCGGAAAAGACGCGTGCTTTGAGATCGAAGAGATTGAACAGATCAAGGGCATACCGAAAGGAAGAGGGAAGCAGGGTAACCTAGGTTATTATGACCGTTTGCGTATACCCATCATCGAGAATACTGCGCACGAAGAGGATCTGAGGGAGAGCTTAGAGGAGGCGATGGAGAAATACCCCGATTCGTACGCGATTCTTGTCAAGAGACACGGCATCTACGTGTGGGGCGACAACGTACACAAGGCGAAGACGCAGTGCGAGAGTATTGATTATATCCTGCAGTTGGCGGTGGAGATGAAGAAGCTAGGGCTACCGTGGACGAAGTGAAGAGACAGCAAAACTTAGGCGTAATGCGTTGCGTACACAGGTGGGGTACACATGAGCAGCCAAGAGAAGAGTGTGTGCATTGGAGGGAAAGCTTTTTGAGCTAATCTTGAGCCGCCATAACCTCCCTAATCGTTTCGCTCTCGATTTTCCTCATCAACCAAGCGTGTACAGTGATCTCTTTAATGTTTCCGCATGAAGCCATCGAGTCCTGCCCCCACAGTCTGTCCCGAGTCGCCCCTACTCACGGAACGCAATTTCGACTCCCTCTCTATGAAACGGCGGCCACGAAACTCGAGTATCAAAACTGCATTTCCCCCGAATCCCATTCGCATGACAAGAACACGCAATCACGATTTTATGTAGATTGGGAAATGTTGACAGTAGACCAGGAATTACCAGTCGTATGATCCATCGCAGATCCTGTTCCATAGGATCGTAGTAGTTTAGAAACTCTTCCTTAAGATTGTTGGAGTATTGATAGGAGGCTTGAGACCTGTCAGCCTCCATGAGTGCTTTTTTAAACACCAGAAGAGCGTCGATGGTCCTCACGGAAATGGATCGTATCATCGCGAAGTGGGCATCTCGGATTCGATCTCGAAAACGCTTGAAGGCTTTGTAATCGTGGAAAGCAAAAGTATTCTCGTGGTAGAAGACTAGAGCGGCCTCGGAGTAGATTTGTCGGCAGGTGCGAGGGAGGCTAAGCTGCCCTAGATTGCTTTTGAAGAGACCCGTCGATGTGGAGCCGTATTTGCGATATCTCAATCGTTTGAGGTTGGGATACACGGTTATACCGCCCAGTGCGCAGTGCCATATCTTTGTGCGGAGTTCGGATGGTAGTCGCAGGAGAGGAGAGTTCACACTGTTGTCTTGGGCACTGGATACTGTTAGAGAGACATGAGGATCGTTGAGGTCTTCACTTACATCGTCACAAGATGGTCTGGCGTTTGTGAAAGGTCCAATAAGTCATTCTCTTTTGGCTCTTCGACTGGCGTCTTCTTACTTGAGGCGCTTGCTTGATCACACTTCTTGTGGGTCTGAGAAACCATGAGTAGTCTTGCGCCTGTGGTACTTATCGTTCGATTGAAGTTACTTTAGTTGGGTTTGTGACCGAACGGCTCGGTGTATGTTCAGGGAATTGTTTCAGGTAGTGGAGAAAGTCTGGTAGGAAAGACTTCAATCTTTGAATGAGAGTTGGAGCGACTGGGGGCTTGAACGAGCACACACAGTGTCAAGTGCGGCGACTATTCACTACGATGCACTGACACATGCTTCTGCAGCTATGGCTGCCTTACTGCACGATGAATGGTCCACTCTACTAAAGACATCAGCTGACATACTCAAGAAGCCCCCCTTGGTACTTCAGCTCGGCCCCTTTTGACTTGACCTCGATATATCCATTCTGTGTCTCTACTTGGAACTGCCACCACCATGGACAAGTCTACGCTCCCAGCGGAGGCCACTCAATCCGTCCCTGAAGCGCGCTACAACATGCGCAAGCGTCCCGCCAAACCGACCACGAAATCTTCCAAGCGCGTCTATCGTACTCGCGGCGGTCTCGTCTCCTTGCGGAAGACACCCAAAGACCTCGTCCCCATGTGAGTCATTCAGAAGCGGAAGATCTATATACAGTTGATATCATCCAAAGCGTCAAGTCCAACACGCAACAGTCTCCCCTTCTCCGCCTTCCCGCTGAACTTCGAAACAAGATCTTCAGGTGTGCTTTGGGAAGCGGCCGGTTTATACACCATTGGTAAGAGATATCGCTCTGCGGACTGATGTGAGACATGCACTGACTTCGTACACCCATAGGTACGGAGGCACCCGCGAATGGCGCTACCTCAACAGCGATAACGACGTCTTCCGTTCAACACGTGCCAACATCGCCCTACCGCGCGTCTGTCGTCAAATTTACTCCGAAACAGCTACTCTAGTATACTCCGAGAACTTGTTTTCCTTCAACAACGTCTTTGAACTCGATCGCTTTGTTGCTTCACGCAAACATGCTCAGCTCGAAGCCATGACGATGGTTATGGTTGATATAAGTTGGAACGCGTTTAAGAGTGGAAGCGACGCTCTGGAGATGGTGCTTAGGAGCCTAGGCAGATGCAAGGGGTTGAAGAAACTGTATATGGGAGAGCTCAGGGGCCTATGGAGCACCAAGAAGGAGTTTAATCGTGTGAAAGAAGCGGAAGCTGCAGTTGCAAAAGGCCAGGCAGGTGATATCGAGGTTATATTTGTGTCGCCATACACATTGGAACCTCTGCCGTGGTCATAGCACTGGTTAGGGAGACAGGTCAATCGCTTTGGTTGCGTTCGGTGAGGTGCGCTTGCCTCGCACATTTCAATACCTAGGTAGACTATGATGTCAGGTCATTTCATGCGATCTTACATTGCTTGTAAATTTCATAAGCCCGTGCACACCTAGTGCAGCTCCTTCATTTACCTATTAATCTGCCAGTCTTCTGCCTTCTACCTTCATCGAGAATACCTTACCATACCTTGGTCGGCAATCAATACATCCAATAGACTCAACCAACCAAATCAAACCAACGGAGTTCTCATGGAGGATTCAGGAGAACTTCAGGACATAAACCGCCTGAGTACTTCGCATGCTGAGCGCATACGTCGGTGAGTTCAAGAGTTCGCACATCCTCTACAACTTACTTACAGTCTGACAGAACCCAAGAGAACCAGGCAAACTCCCCTCTCCTCCGTCTTCTACCTGAGCTTCGTAACATCATCTACGAGTATGTGTTACGTATGAATTATCCGATAGAGATGACAAGAACAGCGATGAGGGACCGAGCCGGCCCCAAGCGACATCTTCTCGCCCTCCTTGGAAGCTGCTCGCAGATCAACACAGAGACCGCTATGCTGCCTTACACTCTCAACGTCTTTGCTATGACGGGTTGGATAGCATGTTCCAATACATGGAAGCTACTTCATCATACCGGCCAGAAGCAACTACAGGCTATCAAGAGGATGCAACTTAGGACAGCTGTGGGGAGTATAGTCATGGGGCTAGAGGGCGAGCTCGCCTCTTTAAAGGGCTTGGAGATGATCGAGGTACGGGACAGCCGTGGTCAGTGGAACGAGGATCTGATCCGGCGGATAAAGATGCGTATGCCAGGCATTGTTATTTCTAAGATTGAGGCGTTTCCTTAGAAACCGCTGAGAGGTCTTCGGACGAAAAGGCCCTCACGCTCGAACGCGAAAGACAGAGAAGAGGGCCTCGGGAGGTAGGGGAAACTGCATTGGGAAGTTAGACATCGAGTATTTGTGCTACCTAGGTACCGTGGACCCGTAATGCCTGAGGAACTAGGGCCGAGTAACGATGTAGTCAAGAGACACATAACTTGATATATGACTCTTTGAATCGAATGAGATTCAAATAGAATTTTGAATATGCGATAGATATGAGGATGAATCTGTACTACATCATGGTGCAAATGACTTTCGCGACAACCCTTGTTAGTTGCGCATTACGTCATCAATCCTGGCATCCCTACGCTAACCAAAGTCAATATCCCTGAGCGGATGGCGCCCAGGCCTCTGACATTCATCTACGAAGCCAGAGAACATGCCTCGCTGGTCGCAAAGGTGCATCTTTCTTGCGTTACTATGTTGCACACTATTCGAATGGTATGAGTCAAAGTTTCATAGCTTCCAAGATTTACAGCATGACCAGTTCGCCGTTACCACGCCTGCTACTGACTCACCATTCCTGCGCCTCTGTGTCTTCTCAACAGATTATGTTGGTTCGACTTGTAATGTTACCTGACGAGTCTTGTTGGTCAATCAACGGACGGATGCAGTGCTGCAAGTGAGTCACCACTACTGCGTCTCTGGTTCTCCCAGCCAGCGCGAACCGCTAGTGAGTATGTCGAGTGTAACCATCCACGGAGCTCCCAAAGAGAAAGAGTCATCTCCAACTATATAAGATCTCTTAAACCCTATCACTGCAACCATCACTCATGCCTTGTACACTATCTGCATCTTCAGATATGTCGACAAGCAACTCTACCCACCGGAGTAAAACTCCATCGATGGCTACAGCCCAGTCAGCGAACACCCACTCGACGCAGTTACAATCCCCGTTATACCGCCTACCTCGAGAACTCCGCGACGAAATCTACGAATACTATGCAGATGGCAGGCGATCGTACGAGTACAACAAGGACACGCAAAAGCTGCGCTACCGGGATACAGCTGCGCGCGCAGAAAACCTTGGTTTGATAGTGACTTGTAAGATCGCGGCGGAAGAGATGAAAAGGGTAGCCTTCCAGAAAGCGGAGTTTAGCACACGATGCTCTGCGTACGACATTTCAGAGTTCATGGGCCTACGCTCAAGAGTCGCTCGACTCCACATCTGTAAGTTTTGCATTATGTTATAACAAGGCTGCGCTAATTCCAATCTGCTCTTTAGTGACGACTCTTGTTCAAACACAGCGACAACGCATGTTGGTCTGTGTGACCGAATTGCTACAAGCTTCCGACTTCGTCGACATCGAAGCGCGTTATCCAAACATGGGACTATATTTCGGTGACTTGCTACCGCAAGCCATTGCTGAGCAACGCGATAAGTTCGGAGTTTGGATGGGGTCGATACGCGTAAATCACGTTGCCCATCAAGCATGTATCGATGCGCTACTGTTCGCCCTACATCGTGCTCACTCTCGTAGCCCGGAAAGGTTCGCGCAGCTCACAGGTAGGGTCTTTGGCAAAGGCAATTGTCCTGTGGGCTCTGGAGGGATCAGAACAATATTTTCAACCAAGGCTCGTTGATCGAACTGCTCTTATGGAGACCTGACCCATGGTTACTACCCCAAGACGAAGATCTATCGCGTATGGAAACTCTTCTCTGCAAGCAAAGCGACCCTAGACCACCTCGTGCAATCGATTTTGAGCTCTGTCACCGTTCCATGGAAAACATCAGGTGCTACTTCTCTGCTGCAGCTGTAGCGATCCACTACTGTACGTAACCGTCTTTTCCCCTTTGTTTCAGAATACCTGCGCACCAATGCTTTCACCAGGCAGTTTGAGTCAAATACAGCATTGTGATCGCATCTAAACGCAGTCATGAGACCTTTTGCTAACTTATCTTGTAGTACATAGCCTACCACCAAAGCAATGGCTCAACCTCCGGAAGATCATCCTGTACGAGGACCGCAAGTCTCTGCTTCGTCCCGCATGTCATGCACGTGGACTCATTGGTTTCTGCAAGAGCAATTCGTCTTTACGCGTGGAGCACAACATCGGACTATTGAGCAATCTGCTCCCGGAGTCTACAGATTTGGGAATCGACGATCGATTCATACTTGGATCCACTTGCCTGGGAGTAACAGTCCCATGGATAGAGGAGGCTCTATCTTTGGCTGCCAGTGGTATAACTACCAATGCCTACCGACTCATCATCGACGGCAGTACAACAAAGGCAGTGCAAACTTTCAGGCTCTTGAAGTATGCCGCAGCAATGCAAGAAGCCATGCTCACCCAAGCAGAGCGTAACAATTTGCAGCCTACACCATGGGTCCGTTCGGGTTACGGCCAAGTCACCTCACTACCATGGCACTTACCCGCAGGTTTTCCGAACGTAATCCGCGCAATCATGAATGGCACGTCGAACATCCAGTTTACAGGCCCCGTAGGCGACCTGTGGGACTCAGATCTCATGTTCTTTGAGAGTCAAGACTGGACCATCGCAGATTGGCGGAACGAATGGAAGGAGAAGATTGTACTGTGCGGACCAGAAACCACCTTCTATGAGGACACACAAAAGTGGTACGAGCTCTAGTCGTGCGAGTTGAACGAGAGCCCTACCTAGTGTTGAGGTCTACAACACCGAATTTGCGAGCAGATGGCCAGTGTGCGGGTCTGACATGCGTCTTCGCCGATTGAATACAGAACACATAGCAATAGGATAGACTGGCTTAGTACGCCGTTACATTTTATGGTGTTTGGTTACGTGTTGTAAGATGTATGAGGTGGCTAAATAGAACCGGCAGCCCTCCGTAACTTCTGCCATCCAAATCCATATCGTCCCTCATCTACAACCTCGCTACCTCCCTCCCCTCCAACAGCCCCTCGATAGTCTCTCTCCACACCTCCGCCGCCTCAGCACTAATAGAGTTGAGATCATAGCTAACGCCGAACCCCACAATCCCCTCCGCACTAGTCGAGCTGCCCACCAAAAACTCGTCCTCCCTCGCTCTAACCCCAATCTTCACATCGCGGAAATCAGCCGCAAAGTCCTTGTCCCCCAAATTCTGAACGTCGTACGTCCCGCGCTTGAAGAACGCAGCTAAAGGCCCGATGGACGAGACGCCGCATGTAGCGCCGAAGCCTGCTGTGCTAGGTGCTAGAGAGCCTTGTGGATTTTGGAAAGAAGGTGAGCGACGCGAGGGCGGGAGTTTCGCTTCGACGCGTTCGATTTGCGCGACGTAGCCTGTTGCGAGGAGACGGCCTGGTGAGCCTTTGTCTAGAATACCTGCTGTACCTGTCTTTCCTTTTCCTTTGAGACGTTTCTGGTAGACACGTAACTCGCGGTTCGCGTGCTTCGCTACGAGCTTGAAGCGTCCTTCTACGGGTAGATCGGAGGATAAGAAGGGCATTACTATGCCTTCGCTAAAGGCTAGCATGCATGAGTCAGGCGGTGGTGGATTTACGAAGAAGGCGCGGGGGTTTAGCGGGAAGGAGGCTGTGAATGGTGGGTGGTTGGTGGATGGAGACCGTTTTTCGTGGATGGCCATCATTGCTAGGCCGGCGAGAGCGAAACACCCAGCTCCTATACTGACGTTTGCGGAGCGGCATAGGGATATCAGACGTGCTGAGGCGGCGGGCGATAGGGATGCGGATACATGACCACAGGACATTGGAGGGCGAGTCGAAGGGCTATAGTCGAATATCTTGTTGAACTTGGGTTCGAGTGGTACTGGCTCCTCTAACCTCTTCTCTCTCCGCAGCGGATTCGTAAAGGTGGGTGGTAGTCCTCCCTTCTTCACGTGCCGCAACACTCTGATGAGCGCCCAGAACCAGCGCTGTCTCGCTTTATTGCCTGCAATTGGTGGGTATAAGTCTTCCTGGGCGGCTGGCAAGAATTTTCTGATCTTTTCTGGCATACGGAGGGACTCGATGTCTGCTAAGATATCCTGGGATGGTTGGTTGAAGATGCGAATGAAATGACTGAACCAGCTGTAAGCCGAGAGACCATCGGAAATTTGATGCGCAATCACGATGAGGAAGCGTAGCTCATATGTTCCGTCTGGAAGTTGTCGCAAAGGTAAGACATGGAACTTTGATAGGCACTTCGTGGGTTCAATGATGCGAGTTACGTTGTAGGCGTGGTGGTACAGCTCTTTTTCGTCGACGTTCTCATACGCTTCTTCGATCCAAACGATACTCTTCTCGACTTCTTGAATGGCAGAATCTCGAGAGCTGGGTACATCCACGGCAAAACCTCGTCTTCTTATTTCTGGATCATCGGTCACTCGAGACAGGAGTAAAGGGTGCTGAAGGCGAAGAGAAGTCCAGGCAAGCGCTATCTTGCGCCTCAGCTCTGATTTTGAGAGCTTGTGTTGGACGGCTAATGTGAAAAGGGCAGTCATGTCTGTTGCACAGTCAGTCGCGCTTCAGCCATGCTCAATATGACGAGTGGACATCTCTTTGGACCATCAAGAAACGAGTATAAAATATTCCGAAGATCCTACATACCTGCCCGGCCACCATAATACGCGCCATCCGAGTCAAAAGAAGTCTCTACTAGCCCAAGCGGTCGCTTGAACAGCTGGGTGCCATCTGCATCTTCTGACAGCTTCCACTCAGCATAATTTGATGCGTATTTGTCCAACCAGTGGCTCTGCTCTTGCTCTTGTGGTGTCATGACACTTTTTTTTGGCGTGCAATTCCAGGAAGATGGAGGTCATGCAAATTCTTTCGCCACTTCTTGGTGCGAGTAATTGGAAGCCCGAGCGTATGTCAACAATGAAGAGAGTGTATCAAAAGGATAACATATGTACAGATTGAAAAGCGATAGAGTTAGAAGGCGGAGTCGGAATGACCGTTAGATTGTGAGATGAGCGGGTCGGCCAGGTCCGCTCGAGTCATGGACGTTAGTCGCTAAGATGCCGTCATTGCCACGACGATCAGTTGATAGGACCTCACACTCTGATCGCATACGCTGTTGTACGCTGACATGCTGCAACACATTAATACTGTTCATTCTCGAGGGAGCATGCAGTATAATAAACCTGAAAATGATGAAGCTCCTTTCTACGGCGCCGTGTATGTTCCTTCACGGACTGGGTATCGCCAACGCAACAATTTGATCAACTACCCCATCCCACCACAGTCTTCTACACTACATCCTCCATCTCGTCCTCGCCCTCTGAGTCGCCATCACCCGGACCCTCTGGCGCAGCTGCCTCTGCTTGCTTACTAGTATCGCGTTGGTTGTCGAAGACGGCCTGCCGCTTCCAGTTGCTCGCAAAGGGCCCAGACTTGACAAGCAGCGCAATGTCGCCAAGCACCTCCTTGAGATACTGCTCTGGTTGTTTTGTGCGCTGTTTGATAGCCTTCATCGGCCAGTACTGGTATTCGTCGAACAGCTGGTGCAGTACGTCGATGAGGTCGGAACGAGCCATACGAGCCGCCTTGTTCTGCTGTGACTTGGCCTTGGTCGTGGGCTTGATGAAGTTCTTGAAGCGGTTGTTGAGGGTGATGGAGTTGTTGACGTCAGAGACTTCGGTGTCTTTCGTGATGATGGTGGTGGTGTAGGAGCCTTGAATGGCTTGTTTGATGCGCGCGGCGCTGAAGTCCTTGAACTCTTTGGTTTCGAGAGGATTCGCGTTATACTGCCGTGTCGCGTGGCCGACGAGGGCAGTCTGTTTGGGGATCGCCTTCTTGTACTTGCTCCGTTTTTGGACGCGCGCATTCGGATCTTGTATACCACCACCATAGCCTCCGTGGCCTCTCCCATAGCCGAAGCCTTGTCCCTTGAACCCTGGCAGATCCTTCTCTGTAAAGATGTATGTGTTGCCCAGTTGCGCTTCGGAAGCGGCTGCAGGATCGAGCTGGAAGGCGGAGGGTAAGTTGGACTTTGCGCGCCAACGATCATCGAGGAAGACGCGCATAGGCTTGTCCTTGTCGATGCCGCTCGTCGTCGCGAATGCGAGGACTTCGCCGATCTGTATCTGATCGTTGTCGTTACCGTCGGCAACGTTTTCCCATTTAGACACTGCCTCGTAGAGCCAGTCTGGAATCCGCGTGAGCCAGACATCCTGTTGAGGATTGTCCTTGTTGATGCTCATCTCGCCGGTGTCCTCGTAGAAGTCATCGTCCATGAAGCCTATGTCGCCTTCCGCCTTGACCCCGGCTTCTGTCTTGATGCCGTTCATGGTAGCGAGTGTGTGTGTGTTGTTGCCTGGGGTGAGTTGGTAGAGATGATGAAAGATCGACTGAACTAGGGCGCGCTCTTCCCCGACGCGCTTCCGCACTAGCGTGCCAAGCCCTTATCGATAATGCAGCTATGGAGAGGTCGCGCTTGCCCCACGTCTGCTGCCTATCAACAACCAACAGGCACGACTGAATCTCGTTCGTAGCTACAGAGTTATCCTCTTGTCCTCGCCATTCATTCTCTCATACCCTCTCAGCTTGAGCTCTAAACGTCTTCTCAACCAATCCAGCTCGTCCAAAACCCCCACAATGGCTTCACAAGCTGTCACCTCGGCTTTACAGCAGATTGAGGCGGCACCGGCCAGCGAAAAGCCCTCTCAGTACACTGCTCTCCTCCAACAGATCATAGAATCATCCACCAATATCGCCGCCGATCTGAACGCATACGCACAAACCCTCCTCGATGACTCGCTCGGCATAGTCGTTCTGCGGCCACTCCTCGCTGCTTTCGTAGATGCGTTCCGGACTGTCAAGGACGCAGACGCCAGGATTGAAGTTGGAGAGAAGGTCATCACACTATTACAGTCCAAGGGCGCGGGCCAGTATGAGGAGCAGGACACTCAGATCAAGCATGCTCTTGCAGATGCGTTCGAGCAGAACGAGGACTTCAGACGGTCAGCACAGACGCTCGCGACCATAAACCTTGAGTCAACACAAAAGTCTGTCTCCGCGGATGACAAGGCGCAGGTCTGGATCCGGATAGTGCGGTGCTATCTGGAGGAAGACGATCCAACGAGCGCCTTCACACATCTGAACAAGATCAAGAACATCATCTTCAACGTACAAGACAAGACCACCAAGGTCATGTTTCAATTGAGTCAAGCCCGCATTCTCGACTCGCAACGGTCCTTCCTTGATGCTGCCCAGGGATACTACACTTTGAGCAACGAGCCAGTTGTGGACGCTGAAGAGCGCGACAACTTTCTTGGGAAAGCAATCATCTGTGCAGTCCTCGCTCCTGCTGGTCCGCAACGAGGTAAGATGTTGGCCAAGCTCTACAAGGACGACCGAGCCAGTTCCGCCGACGACTATGCCATCCTCGAGAAGATCTTCCTGAACCGTCTCCTCACACCTGCCGAGATCAACGCCTTCTCCGCCAAGCTCGAGCCTCACCATCTCGCCCGGGCCGCTGATGGCTTGACTGTGCTCGACAAGGCTATCCTGGAACACAACTTGCTCGGCGCATCGAAGCTCTATAACAACATCGGATTTGATCAGCTGGGCGAACTACTGGGCATCGACGCTGAGAAGGCCGAGGACTACGCGGCAAAGATGTTAGAGCAAGGCCGACTTGCAGGTTACATCGACCAGATCGACCGATACGTTTTCTTCGAGGGCGAGGCCAGTGGTGAGCGTAAGACAGGGCACGCAGAGCGCGTTGTCGGCAAAGAGCTACGGAAGTGGGATGCCAACGTCACAGGCCTGGCAGAGGAGGTGGAGAAGGTCACGTCGATGATTCAGAACCAATATCCCGACTTCTATGCAGCGCAGGTGGCGCACTAGTGTCGGATCGATATTACCAGCAGCGATGATGAGTAGGCAAGCATAATCGGCGTCCGGGATCGCATATACCCAATGTACACTTAGACATGAATACGAGCATGATATCGTACTCCCATTCCTGAGATATCGCATTCACGTAACAGCCCCGAGGCTGACATGCTCGTGTTATCGATACATATGATACATTCAAAGACGCATCCCACCTCTCGACGCCACCACTATTGTACACTCTCCTTACCCTCTTGCCCCAACACAGCTTCATACTCCTCCAGACTCTTAACTTCCAAATCACTAATCTTCAAGACTGTGAAGTACTGTTTGCTCATAACATGCTTGACATGTCTCCGTCTCCTCTTGGTCTTCTCCTCCACCCTCAACGGCTCAGTCTCCACACCCACAACCCGCGCTCTGCATGTGAATAACCGCTCGTCCAGATAAAACACCTTCTTCCCACGATCTGCGTTTCCCTTGACAGGCTCTGGGGCTTTTAACGTGTAGTCGCGCGATCCGATGTGTGTAGCGCGGTTCAGACGCAGAACATCGCCTGGTCGTACATGTGGCATTTGGAAGGGGAGGCGAAGCGTGTCTCCGCGAGTGAGAAGATATGGGCGGCCATGTAGATGTGCGGTTATGTAATGTGCCGGCTGCGATTGTAGGAGAGGGAGGAGCTTGCGGATGGAGGGTGTGAGGGTTTGTGAGAGGATGTCTGAGCGGGCATTTGGTGAGGCTTTGATGTCGTTTGTGGAAGCGGGGGCTGGGGCGTCTTTAGGGAGAGGCTGTGGTGTTTGAGCGCGCTCTTTGGCCTCGTCTGATATGCGGTGGCCGGATTGCATGAGCGGTTCGGGCGTATTCGATGTGTCGAGGTTGTGCGATACGGTTGTTATGCCTGCGCGGCGGATCGTTGGTTGGATGATCGCTCTAGATTCGAAGAGCGCATGGCGTGCAGAGCGGGCGAATAGAGCCATTACTGGGGTTTGTGGGATGCAATGGCTGGGGTGGCTGCTGGATTCAGTATCTTTGGTGTTGCGGGAGTCCGATGTTGAAGAATCCCGCATCGCGCTAGTGGGGGCTAGTGCCGAACTTTTTGGAGGCAAGGCGCCTGGTGGAAGACTCCACTCCACTACCACCACCCTTACAGCATACACAGAGGTAGTCGCCGTCGCCATGCCTCAGAACGAGTATATCGAGCGCTTTACGAAGCAGTACGTCGCACCAATCCTACATCTCGCATCTCGCACCTCGCATCGCCTACCTCAGCACCAATCCTGCGTCGCGATTTGCGCTTTGCGCTCACATCTCAACACCAAGAACACATAACTAACTCTTACCAGGCATGGAAAGCGCTTCGATCATGACGAACGTCAACGGAAAAAGATTGCCCGTGAAGGGCACAATGCCTCGAAGAAGGCGCAAAACTTCCGTGGCCTGAGGGCTAAGTTGTACGCTGAGAAGCGTCGCAAGGAGAAGATTCAGATGAAGCAGAAGATCCGCGCACACGAGGAGAGGAGTAGGTGTTCCTGTACACACTGGCTTGAGGCATACACTGACATCTTTCAGACGTCAAATCCAACGAGGCACCCGAACCTGCCACCGACGCCCTGCCCGCCTACCTCCTAGACCGTAGCAACGAGAAGAACGCAAAAGCCCTATCCTCAGCAATCAAACAGAAGCGTAACGAGAAGGCCGCTCGGTTCTCCGTCCCCCTACCCAAAGTCAAGGGTATCTCTGAGGAAGAGATGTTCTCAGTCGTCAAGACCGGAAAGAAGACTAAGAAGAAGAGCTGGAAGCGTATGATCACCAAACCCACATTCGTCGGACCAGGTTTCACCCGTCGCCCCGTCAAATACGAGCGCTTCATCAGGCCTATGGGTCTGCGTTACAAGAAGGCCAACGTGACGCATCCTGAGCTGAACGTCACGGTTCAATTGCCGATTATTTCAGTAAAGAAGAACCCCCAACAGGTAAGTTCTGACTGTACGAAGTGCATGTGAGACATATACTGACTTCTCAGCCCATGTACACGCAGCTCGGTGTGCTCACGAAAGGCACAATCATCGAAGTTAATGTGTAAGCTGGTCGCTCTGTATACATGTGCAGGTTACTAATGCCTCTTCAGGTCTGAACTCGGTCTTGTAACCGCTGGAGGCAAGGTAGTCTGGGGTCGCTACGCGCAAATTACCAGTGAGTTATAACTGTATGAGTGCATGTGAGACGTATGCTGACTTCGTCCCTCTAAGACAACCCCGAGAATGACGGTTGCTTGAACGCTGTTCTGCTCGTCTAAGCTTGTCGTATAAAACAGGGACGAACCGTGAACAATGCATTTGATGGCGTTATGTGGGTCAAACAGCAAAATCGAATTCCAAGGCGTTGCGGCGATTACGAGAGAACGGGATTTGCTAGGCACGGAATGTGGCAAGGCTGGCCGATGATGCAACTGAGCATGTATATCTTGGAGGACTTTTAGCTAGCAAAGAAAAAGAGTAATGATACCACATTGATCAAGCTGTTGTGCATTCATCGAACTCAGAAGTCTGTCGTCAGATTTTTGTGGAGGAAGTTAAACTACAACACGAGTTTAAGATGCTGGTGGTAATTACGATGCTAGATTAAATACCCAATCCGTGACCGCCCAATCCGTGGTATCTTCCCAGTCGATCCATCTCCGCATAAAGACAAAAACGCCAAAAGATTCTTTCCCACCCAAGATACCAAATAGCTGGTTCACATCTACAAAGCGACGTTATACGATAACGTCACTCAAATCCACATGCCTTCTCCTTCTAGCCACATCCCCTGCTAGAGCCCTTCCATCGCTGTCCAGCGCCTCATCACCCGCCCAATCCACGACAATCTCATCGCGGATCTCGTCATCGAAACTACCCCTCCTCCCCGTCTTATCCGCCCAGCCCGTACGTTCAAGCTCGATGATGCCACCAAATCGCCTCTCTCCATTCGCAATGAAAAGAGACTGGCCATCAGGCGTAAACGACACACCACCCGCAGGGCCGAAGAAATCGAACGTTTGCTTCGACTCCCACGTCTGCGCATTGATGATGTTGATGAAGTCATCTGCTTCGGCGGCAACGAGAACACGCGGGCCGGAGCCGATGGGCGAGAAGTGGAGGGAACGCGGGACGCTGAGTTCGCTCTTCATGACGGCGAGCGGCTTCTCCCAGTAGCGCGCGTCCCAGACGACGATGGTGGAATCCTGCGCGGCGGTCGCGACGTGGATGCCGTCGTCGGCCCAGGCACAGGCGAAGGCGTCGTCTGTGTGCGAGTTTAGCGTTTCGAAGGGCTGGCCGGTTTCTGCGTTTGTGATGAGAGTTTCTTGGAAATCGCCGACGACGACGCGCATGCGTCCATTTGGACTGGTAGCCGAGCAGTTGACGGCTGCGGGGTAGAGGAACGAGTGGACGAAGGTGTTGGTGCCGCAGTCGAGCACACGGAGCCGGTGGTCGTTGGAACAGAGGACGGCTTGTGGGGTGTAGGTTCGCCGTGAGGGGAAGAGGTGCATGTGATTAACTATGCGTGATTTTGTGTCGGTCGCAAAGTCGGTGGTGCGGCCGAACGTGCAGGGCGAGCCGTGGGTTGAGGAGAGATTGGTGATGGCGTACTCGCCTTCGAAAGCACCGGCGATGAGTACGTCGCCGTGGGAAGCGATAGTGGTAATCGATGCATCGAGAGCCAGGTGTTTGTTGAGGTCAACGACGGCGTCTTCGGATGTGCCTTCTGCGTCTGTGTGGAGTACTTGGTGACCTTTTGCATAGTAAATATCATTGCGAGATGTGGCCGTCAGAACATTCCGCAGCTGGAAGTGAGGCACAAAGGCACGGGGGCTGGTGTTGATCCTTCGGAACTGGAAGAAGCTGTCCGTGTTGGGTGTTGAATGGACGTGCTAAGAGAGGTTAGCCAAAGATATAGATCATATATGTGAAGCTCATTTCTGTGCCATAGCTATACTACACCCTGGAGAGATGTTATATCTTGTTCCTCATTCGGGCTTGTAGAACGCAGTAATCTCTTCAGGGTGTGGAGTAGCTGGAGCAAGAAAACGCTTCTTCGTACTATGCATACCTTGCGAACCTGCTTCACACAATGAGGCACCCGCTGACGCTCATGTTGCGACCTTGCTCTCCGTACCGAAGCCCTAGTAGTCTTCCGGGCGGTCCAATCAATTCCCTGGTAATCATACTCATCACCCTTGAGATCTTCTCGGGTAATGAAATCCGGCAGCTGGATGAGATCCAGACCAGGCACAACACCGGGCTTCCACTGCCCGTAGAAGCGGTGGAAGTAGGACGTAATGGGGCAAAAGGCCGCCCGGTCCTGTATGCTCAGGTGCGGTTCGTTAAGTGTTGGCGGTGGCTCAAGTAACAGGTCAGTACCGTATGGCAGGTTGCCTGCTATGGTGACCGGCGCAATGAAGTGTGTAGTGGATGTGTGGTGTTGAGGTATGCTGGAGCCTGCAAACATGTCGAAAGCGTTGTATGTGACATAGGATGGATGGATTGGCCCGAAGCCAAACATGTCTTCTATCGTGCCTCCCTCATCCAGCGAGGGGTCCCCATCGTCGCTGTTTGCTCCTGCCTGATGCGACTCGGGCATGGCTTCCATGAAATGCTGGTAGTCCTCTAGCGATATCCCCCCACCATCGTCATCGTCGTCGCCGTCGTCCTCGTCGTCATCGGGCGGTCTGTTGTCAGAGAGGGTCGCTAGCGTCACAGCAGCAGCCAGTGCGCTGGGTGAGTGCGGCCAGTCTCCAGCGGGCGGGTGGGCGTGCGGCGGCGTTGTGGGATGTGTGGTGGAGTGTGGCGCGGGCCAGTTGTGCATGCTGGCCATCGACGCCCGCTATCCGCCTGATAGCCAGTGCAGCGGGGCCGCCGAGGCAGGTTCTTGGGGCAGTTGCGTCTGCGACGAAATGGTCGGCTGGTGTAGTTGTAGAGAGGCGTTGGGGCGCAAGGTATAGGCTTGTCTGGCGTGGGGGAGGCGACTAGGCCGAAGCATAGGCTCAGGCAGAATGCAGCAGTCAAGTCCAGGGCCCAGGGGCTGACTGGCTAGGCTCTTCGCTTCGCAGGCTGACTGGGTCGCGTTCGGCGCTCGACCTGGCTATCCAGGCGCTGCATGCGACAGAGGTACGTCCAGGCTAATTGTGGGGTTGCTTCTGGCAAGTCACAGTCGGGTATTGGCTGCGGGAGAGTTGGGCTGGGCTGCAGGGCAGGGCAGGGTGACGGTCATGAATATGGCTATGCGCGTCGGGACGGCTTCTGAAGCTCCAATGCCGTCAGATATATATCCCACGCTCCACGTCGTCGAATATTCCCATCGAGCCCTCCTCCGCGGGCCCTCTAGTCTGAACACGGGGGGATCGGACAGCCCACCCCCAAGCCTGGCTAGCGACTCCACCATCTCTCAGATCTCCAGACGTTAGATCTGTGTATTCACGCTGCTCGACTCCACGCTGTCACCAGGCGCTCAGGGTTAAGCGGCTGCGGCGTGTCCACGCACCGTGATACAACTCACATGGCACTGCCAACACGACAACCTTCTGGAGCCAAGGCCCCGCGACGAGAATGCAGTGGCCACCCACCATTACACACCCACGTCCACATCTGCTCTTGTCAGGCCTCTTTTGGGACACAGACAGCACACCAGCTTCGCTAAGCGCATCTTCTGGGTGACGTGCTGAGCGCCGGCCCACGGTTGCACGGCTATTTCGTGGAGCAAATCAGACGTCGGTTCCCACCGCGCCTCCCCAGACTGTGGCTCGAACGCCGTTTTTGTCTCCCCTTGCCGTTCTGCCTGTAGACAACGGTGCTGGCACTCCACGACAGCACGCCACAGATCGCTCCAGCGAAACTCGAACCACCCTGCGGGCGCGCTGGGCGCACAGGGCGGATCTTGAGACTGCAAAACAGCACAGGAACACTGATGCGAGGTCATTCATCAAAGTGGTATTTCAGCATCGGTATGCCGTGTCTCGCGAGAGCTGACGACATGCCGTAAGAATGTATTACTAGTGCGAGGTGCCTACGTGACCCCGACGGCGAAGTGGAAATTCTATGATCTCATAAACGATGACAGAAATGGCCTGCTAAAACGAACACCCCAGGAATGCCGCAAATCATGTAGTACATATGCAGTCCGCTCCTACGCGACGCCTCATTGCGAAATCAATTATCATAGTACTGATCGTATCCCTGCTGCTGTTGCTGCGGTGGCCATCCGCCAGCCGATGTCGCCGCTGGTGTCTTGAGTCTTCGTTCTGTTGGTGCCCAACGTCAGTGACTGCATTATCGCGAGAAGTTGTGTTCCTTACCTGCTTCAAAGTCATGCCACCTGCGCATCGTGATCTTGCTGCTGTCGAACTCTCCCTCATACTCCAGTCCTGCCTTCTTCGTCTTCTCGCCCGCCGTCTTTCGAGTATCTCCCCAGCTGAAGTCGTCAAACTTCCAGAAGGCATACGTCGGAAGCACAAAATTCCAAACAGGCAGTGACAGCAGATAGACGAACATCCAGGCGACGTAAGACCATCGATGAGCCGTTACGATGATAAGAACCGCGGGTAAACCAAGAATGAGCGCTAGCAGGATGAGGGGTATGACAGGAGCTTCGGTGTGGAGGATGGCGGCTTTGATAGCGATAGCGACTGGACGTGGTCAGCAAAGCCAGGATTTCAAGATGGGGTACGGGGGCTTACTTAGGTAGAAGGTAAAGGCAATGGCGGCCGGGAGGACCAGGGTTCCGATCAACTCGATGAACACAACGAACTGCATGCTGAAGCAGAAGGTGCCACACAGATCTCGCACTAGCACAAGCTCCATCAGGTTGTGGACCGTACTATTAATCCATCGTCTGCGCTGTGACAGCAAGACTTTGAACTCGTCCGGTACAGTGGTTTTGCAAACGGCTTGCGGCACAAAAACCTGTTTCCGCTTGGGGAACGTCTTGAGCATAAGCGTCGACAGATAACGATCTTCACCTAGTAGTAGCAGATTCTTCTTGTGCAACGTATCGACCACGTTCTCCGAATAGTGCTCGACGACGTCAGGGTTAGCCAGGATCGGGACCCAGTAGTTCTGACCGCCCTTGGGAGCCTTGATGCGGTACATGCAGAAACAACCGGGCAAGCAAGTGACACCACCAAAGACCGACTCGAATGACTTTGCCAAGTGGTGGGAGATGAAGTATCTAGTATGATTAGTGGCGCGATTGTCAGACACGGCAAATGCACTTACTCAAACACCTGGATCATGGAGACCCACGAATCCCGCTTATTGGCAATCTTTGTTTCGCCGCAGAGCCCCATGATATCTGGATCCTTTACCATGGCTGAGATCATGTGCGTCAAGCTGTCAGGGAAGACCTTTGTGTCGGCGTCCACCATGAGGACTATCTCATAGAAATCAGGCGATATGCCAGTAATCTTCCAGATACCGTTGAACATCTCAAACTCAAGCTCCGTCATACGCTCGTCAAACATGACCTTTTGCAAGAACGACATGAGGATGATCTGACTGTCTCGCTTTCCACGATTGCCAGGCTTGGACTTCTTGGCCTCATCAGGTGTACCACACTTTACCACTAGCATCACTGGAACACGTTGCTGCTTCTCGACGGGAATGCGCGTCGTCTCGCCATAGTCATAGAAACCCGAGTAGATCTTGGCCATGTTGTGTCGTTTCGAGCCACTGGCGACTGCGACGTACGAGTGCGCTTGAACCTCGTGGGGCAATACCGCGTGATCCCTCATCATACCAAGACAGACTTCGGGCGTTGTCAAGTCTTCACCGTGACCCTTGATCATACCGTCGCAAATGATGAGAATCAACTTGTGACTGTTGGGGTAGTCGGTGGTAGCAATGGAGTCGAGTGTAGTTCGCAGACCTTCGGGACCTTCAGAGTAGGCGGTGACAAGACAGATGGTATGAGCCAATGGGTATCCGAAAGGCTGCCACTCTGGAGGAGGCTGAGGCACGACTGCTTCGTGTGTGAAACCTGCGGGCCCGGAACCTTCGACGCTAGAGTAACGGTTGGTATCGGTGTTACCGGAAAGGAGTAGGCTGGATCGAGATTCCTGTGCCGTAAATACCGCATTGTGTTTTCCATCCATGGGCATAGTGCCCTGGCTGGCGTTGAGTTGCTTGTACATGCCACCGTTCGATCCGAGGACACGAGATGCTGTGCTCTGGCTAGTCATGGTTGTGGGCGGGGCACGGGTCTTTGCGTTCTTGTCAACCGAGTAGGGGCTGGTGAACCTCGAAGTTTGTGGCAAGAAGGTACTGCCACGCTTGTTGCTGCGGTCAGAGCCGGACGATGGATCCATGAGCTTTGGCGGTGGGCGGTAGATGTCATCACTCCATTCCTCGATCTGCTGCTTTCGCTGCTTGGAGTCGGCGGGGCCAATAGATGTCTTAGTAGCAGCAAACTTCTTGCTGATGAACCACTGGAAGATCAAAGCGAGGACGAACTTGGCCATGACAACAGCCAGGATGAAGACGAGCGAGACGTAAAGGACAACCTTGGAAGCAATGCAGCCAATGCTCTCTGTGTCGATGGAGCCAACTTTAATAGTCTCGGTGAAGCAACGGGCTACCTGCTTCTCGTAGCTGGACGAGTACGCACGGGTGACATCGACACCGCGAACAGCGGGGTTCTGGCGGATTTCATCGAATAGAGGTGGGATGTTGACCTGGGTTCGGTTGAACCAGTCGAGCAAGTTTAGGTCAAGCACATCACCACCCCAGACCATCAGATTCCTGGAGCTGTTGCGGATGTCCTCCCAGGTGTAGTAAACATCACCAGCATTGTGGAGGCTGTAGAAGCCCCTGCGAGCTTTGTCCGAGGTGTGGCAGAGATAACCGTTGTACTCCAAGAAGGTGGTGTTGGGCTTGGTCGATCCATCTTGGTTGAACAGTCGGCACGGGAAATACCAACCCAGGTCTCCGTTGCCGGTTGTGGGGATTCCAGAGTTCGCCTTCTCGGTGATGAGACCCTTGCAGGCTCCGTTGACGTTCTGGAACAAGAAGCTGGCGTCCTGACCGCCGTGTTTCTCAGGAAGATCGAAGAGGACGTTTGCGTCTTCGGGGACGCCGCGGGCTCGGGGGTGCTTGGACTGGGCGAGATCATAGGCTTTGCCGTGAATGATGAGGTATCCACCGCCGACTTCGTTCGTCCTGAGACGAGCGTTGCCGCCAGAAGGGCAGACGGTTTCCGTAAAACCGAATGTGAGGTAACCAACGAACGTGCAGATGAGCATGATGATGCTGACGAGTCCGACCTTTTCTCTCCAGGCTCGCTGCTGCGCCTTCTGCGGCTTTCCAAAGCACTTCAGGATAGCGTTCGGGCACCAGAAGGTGACGATGGCGCAGTAGACGTTCCACAGACTAGGTGGGCGTAGCTTGTCCTGCTCCTTCTGGCGCTGCTTCTCGCGCGCCTTCATTGTCTCGCTCCGTGTCAGCTTGCGTTGTATCCGCGGCTCTCCGTCGTCCAAGGGAGCCTGCTTGTCATTGTAGCCTCCGCCTGAGGCATTTCGCAGGTGTGGGGGCTTAACATCGGTACTGTCTGAGCTGACCGTTTCGGCTTCCAGATGGTCTTCGAGGATGGGGTCGTTGCCGGTCGTCGAGGGGTGGACGTCCATGCGCTGGGCGTGTTTGCGGTAGTGATAGTTCGGGTGGCTTGGGTCGTTTCGCTGGCGCTCGGGGCGGATGAGGCTGCGCTTTCTCCCTAGCTCTGGCCCAGAGGAATTAGGTTGGCCTCGCATGATAGGATCGCGCTCCATGGGCACGGGGGTGCCGGGTGAAGGAAGCGCGCGGGCATAGGATTGGGTGCCGCTCTTGCTGTTGGAGCGGTCGTGCGATCGCGTGTTCTCCAGGTCGGACGTCCTTCTCCTGCGATGGTGCGAGTCGCGGTGTGCATGGCGCCGCTCGCCCCGTCGTGGCGGCGACGACTCTTCGGGTCGCTGCGGTAGCGACATTTGCGTGAGGATGCGAGCTCAGCTGTTGTTACACAGTGGGGCTGCTGCGCGGAACCCTTTTCGGCCCGGGAAGAATACGTATGGCGACTCTATGAGGTTGCTGATCGCATGAATGGGACGATGCGTGTCTGGGGTGGTCGTGGCCGTGGAAAGGCGGTGGGTCGTAATTTCCGTTTTCAACGAGTGATGGCTGGCTACGGCAGGAGCAAGTGCGGTGCCGGAATAACCAATGTGTGCAGTGTATGTATTGTAGTGAAAGACGGTCCTAACGAGCGACGAGGAAAACCGACGAGACCCCGGGCGATACAATAGGTGTTGCTAGAGCGATGGCAGATGGGGGCGAAGTTGGCCAGGGGGGTGCTATTTTGGGCCTTTCGTTCCGCCACTAGCACAAGGCCATCGCTAGAGCATACATAAACACGGGAACTCTTCTGACTTCGCGATGATCAGAGACTACGGCTGTCGAGGCATGCATTTTCCAGTGTCTGCCTCGGCGATACTATGCAGTAGTACTACACGATTTTTCCATCCTCATGCCTCTCCCCACAGATGTCGCTGTCACACCACAGAGCCCTCAGGCTGTACCTAGGGACGCTGCTACATGAGCGGACCCCTGCATGCACCAAATCCTGCAGCCCACGGAGCCAAACGGTTACCCTGGATCGACGTACTATCAATTTCCCTATCACTAACCTCACCTCTCCTTTTCAACATTACTAGACATTAACTCAAAACGCTCCCTTCTTCGCAACGTGCTCGGCGGCCTTCATGTAAGGGTGTTCAGCTTCTCAGCCCACCGGTCCATTATTTCTATTGACGCCGAGGGCGGTCGCCACTACCACTACCGCATGTCAACACTGCGCGCGTGCAATGCACAGGCTGCCTGAAATAAAAAGGACTGTGCCCCATCCTTCTCCTCATGTACGAGTGGACCTGCGCTGAGCTTTGGCGGTGCATTTCCACTTGACGCCTTGTGCTTTGCGTCAAGCTGAATGACTGAACGCGTGGAGTCAGGGTCTATTCACATAGGCGCAGCTCCACACTCTTCCATGTCTCCATCCTGAGCCCTGCAGGGCGGCAGCTCCACCCGTGCGGACTGCCATGGACGGCTCATTACCTAGCTAGCATTTGTCACATGTATAGGAATCGATAGTTGCGGGCGGAGCTTCGGAGGCAGCGGTAGCTTGGATAAGTAGTCTCTAGGTACTGTCAAGCCTCAACATGTCTGCCCGACCACCTGAACAAACTCTGCGGTTCACGTTTGGACAGTGACCAGATGGTTGATGACGCCACCTTCCTAATACTCACTGCGTACGTGTCTCAAACAGCGCCCAGCCCTGGGGCCAGTAGTCAAATATCGACGCATGCCCATGTACATGCAGAAGCTCCTCCACATTTGCCAATATTCCTCCGTGAGCCGCCATCGATTACTCGCGCCCCTTTCGGTTCTTGCCGAATAGATCGATAGTGCTCGTGTTTCAACTGTAGTCACACACCCTTTCGCTTCCTCAGCGAGCCGGCCTCTGCCGCCCAGTCCACTATTCGCCATTCTATACGAGGGTCTGCATGCATCGGGTGGGGTTTCAAAAAGCGTCAACCTCCCACTTGCCTTGCCTGCTACGTAGAACTGTTGGCGCGAAAGTTGCAGGTTGATAGTTGACCCAGAAGACTACCTGTTCGCGTTCTGTTCAGGGTCCAAGTGCCGAAGCTGCGAACCCTCCACTCCGCTCCCTGTAAGTCTAATCCTTTTCTGTATTGTAGATCATCATCCCAGGGTGCGCATCCTGAGGCCGAGGTTGGCGAACAGTATCCCAGCCCGTCGTCACACCGCAATTCAAGTACTAACAGTGAATTGTGCGAGTAGAGAGGATCCACACGGCAGACGGTCTCTTATCGCATGCGCGGATTTCTTTGTCGCTAGGACTGCACCACCATCTTAGAGCCCCGCCGTTCCAGCGAGTCAGGACTTAGGCGGACATAAGACTGCAACCAGAGGTCTAACGAAGGGGGATTCGCCTTTTTCTAGCCATGTCCCAGGTCGCTTCGACACCACCATCCAGGGCATTGCCACCCATTCCAGCCGACCAAGAAGCCTACAGCGCGCATCGTCCCGCCTCGAACGGCTCAAGTGGCTTCCAGCAGCGCAAACCCCCCGCCGTGCGCCACTCCTCAACGCCCTCTTTCAGCATCACCGAGCACCACGACACAGCAGGCGGACGCGACTCGAGACAGTCCGGCTCTTCTTTCAACCAAAGCTCCGACGGCCACTCGAGAACGCCCTCGCGAGAAACTCCAGACATTGAGCACAGATTCTCGGGGAGCTCGATTCCACCCGCACAGGACATTCCCTTCAAGCGACTGCATATTAGCGACGGCTCGTACGGGAGTCGATTCTCGCACGTTGCAGAGATGGACGTCGCAAATGCACACGACGAGACGGACCATATATACACTCCCCAAGAGCAATACCGGCCCGTATCCTACCCGAGCCAACCAACCCCGCCGGCTGCAACATATCCTCCCCGCGAGACCGCACAATCGCCGAATGGCGGCTCCCAGCACTCGTCAAATAACAGCGGGCGCAACAGCTACTTTAACAGCCATGCGCAAGAGGGCGAGCTGCAAGTCCCGCGCAGCACGGTTCCAAGACCCAACTCTGCATACACACTCGGCTCAGAGCTGAACATGCGAGGTCGCACAGAATCCCCGCGCCTCTCTGTGGTTGGAACCCCATCACCTAGTGGATCACCAAACCCTTACGCCCGCCCCGTATCAACGAGCCGCCGCTCCCCCGACTTTAGGCCGGAGTCGTCTTACATCGATTTGACCAACCTCCCGTACAACCAGCAAATCGCTCCTGCGACAAACTTTGGCAATGCAGGTCTACGGGGCGTTGTGGGGCAGAATGCCTCCCTACTCGACGAGAAGAAGACGCTGGAAATGTACAGGGCAAACGTCAAGAAGACACAGGATACTGCCGTGCAATACGAGTTTGCGCTGTTCATGATACAAGTGGCCCGCGAGGTTCTGGCGACAGAGAATAGCGGTGTCGATCACGGCATGAACCCCACAGAGTTGCTGAAGGAAGCACGACAGATTCTCCAAAGGTTAGCCGACCGCAGCTATCCTTTCGCCCAGTACTACCTCGCCGATGGGTACGCGTCCGGTCTATTCAACAAGGACAAGCCGGACCACGATCGTGCATTTCCCCTCTTTGTAGCTGCTAGCAAACACGGCCATGCTGAATCAGGGTTCCGTGCCGCACTTTGCTACGAGTTTGGCTGGGGCTGCCGCAAGGACTACGCTAAGGCGGTTCAGTTTTACCGTGCTGCTGCGTCCAAGAACCATCCTGGAGCTGCGACACGACTCGGAAAGGCTTGTTTGACAGGCGATATGGGTCTCCAGAACAAGTACAGAGAAGGATTGAAGTGGCTGAAGCGAGCCACCGAGTCGGCCGACTTCCAGTACAACATTGCGCCGTATGAGCTTGGTCTGCTGCACGAGACGGGCTTCGGAGATGACATTTTCAAGGACGAAGTGTACGCGGTGCAGCTGTTTACCCAGTCTGCCGAACTGGGTCACCCATTGGCCGCTTTGAAGCTGGGAGAAGCCTACGAACATGGCCTATTGCGCTGCCCTAAGGATGCTGCGCTTTCCGTTCACTACTACAACTGCGCTGCTCAGGCCGATATCCCAGAGGCCATGATGAACCTCTGCGCCTGGTACATGGTCGGTGCCGAACCTGTTCTAGAAAAAGATGAGAATGAGGCGTACGAATGGGCCAAGAAAGCTGCAGAGCATGGTAAGTTTCTCGATAACAGCGCGAAGTACAGTCCACTAATTCCATCAGGTCTTCCAAAAGCCGAGTATGCCTGTGGATACTTTACAGAAATGGGCATTGGCTGCCGGAGAGATCCTCTAGAAGCAAACGTCTGGTACGTCAAAGCTGCAGATTCCGGCGACGAGCGGGCAAAGCAGCGCCTCGCCATCATCCAAGCTGCGGCATCCGGGCAGTCGCACGTCCCAGCAAGCAACACCGTCACCGAGAAGGGAAAGCTCAAGAAAGAGAAGGGCAGCAAAGAGAAGGATGGTAAAGAGAAGGACGAAAACTGTGTGGTAATGTAGAATTGGGCGTGTTGTGCTGGCCCTTTGCGATTTCTTTTATACCCTACTCGCGTTTGTTGTTTTTGTTTCCCGCATGTGCTCACGTTGGTCATTCCAACCGTTCCACATAAGCGTGGCGATAATCTTTCTAATATGGGGTTGTGCATATACGGCGTTTGTGGTGCATTGTCCTTTGCATACCGCCGCTTGGGACTGAGCGTCGAGGTCTTGTTAGCATACCTGATGGAGGTCGACACTATTGCATCGTCTCGTCATGTCATAACATGTCTGATGGAGTTACATCTCGTAAAAGCTGAGGTGGATAAAGTGGGTAATTGCATGATGCATCGTAATGACTTTCTATAGCTCAGAGCTTGACTCAACTCAATCATAGACACAGACGACTACAAGCAGGTTGTTTCTGTTCAAAGACTTTCTGTTCAGTATCTTGCACTGTATTTATTGCTATTGCAAGTTCATAGCCCTCGTTTCGACTAAAGATGAATATTCCCTGGATACGATATTAGCTGGCACAGACTGCAGCCAACGGCAGCTGATTCCAGCATCAGATGTCAGTCCATCACGGGTTTCAACGGCTTTGTTGCTCCGAACGCGTCTCGTGACAGCGCGGTTGCCATAAAAGCGCCGATTGGCCAATGTCTTGCAGCATCTTACGTAGCTTTACCTCACGACTATCCGTTCTCGTCCGGCCCTTGCGGTACTCTAGATATGCGAATTCCACGGTACGCGTTCGTAATTGATACGTATTGACTCAATCACGCAGGAATGCGCATCGCAGTGAATGTACATGCAAAGGGCGCATGGCTTGTGCTATACAGGTTGTCAGCATGGCCTTGGCAGGTGTTCCTGGTGGACTCGCTTGCTGCGCTTCCCCA